AATCTTTCGTTATTTGCGCGATCATTTTTAGAAAATATAACATTAATATCTTTCTTTAGCAAAACATATGTATCTTCAAATTCATAAATTGATTTAAATCAATCTGAGTATGAAGTTTTGATAGAAATCCGACTTTCTGTGCCTTACAAGTAAATGAATTTCAAAAATACTATATCGCGATACATCGCTATATCGTGATGCAAAACTGGCGATGCATCACGATCTAAAATTTTTTATATCGCCCAGTCCTACTCGTGATAGAACTGTTGAACACAATAACCTTGCTAGATTAGTACTAAATTAGACCATTTACTAATTCAACTGCTACTTCAAAAGTGTAACAATGTTTTTTTTCCCCTTGTTTTAAAGATATAACGCAGAAAAAAATTCAAAAAGAAAAAGAGAGATAACTTTTCTAAGTCCAAGGTAAACAAAGTAATTTTGATTCTGAAAACCAGAAAGCAACTTCAAGTTAAATGCGAAGTTAAAATAAATAATTGATCAAGATTCAAAAATCAATTTTATGTATACATATAAAATTGGAAAAAAAATGATTAAGTGGTAAAAAGCCAGAGCAGTTTTTAGAATGGTCCCAAGGCCCTGATAAGTCAAGAATATCAATAACATTTGTTTAAAAAATAATTTATTATCCTAACTAATTTGTTAAAAAAAAAAAGGGTTAGCTAAGTGAAGGTGTTTGAACCGTTTAAAGAAAAAATTGGTTCAGCCATACGTATTATCGATCATGACATCTAGCAAGTGATGGAGAAATTTGTTCTTGTAGAACAAGAACAGAAAAGGTGATAAGAACTGCACGGAAAACTATATGGTACTGAAAACAACATTAAACATAGTTCTAAAGAAAAGCATCGCGGAAATTTAAAAAAATATTTTTATTAAATAAAAATATTAAGTTTGTTTGTTTGTTGTTAATTTACGTCGCACTAGAGCTGCTCAATGGGCTATTGGCGACGGTCATAAAAATATTAAGAAAAGGGAAAATATCGTTGTACATTCCTATACAACTGAAAAGTGATGGAGAGGAAAGGGAGAATGGCCAAAGGCATGAAACCGGTCTCTCCCCAGATGGCGTATTTGAGCGTTGCGGTCGCCAGGGAGGGTCCATTGTGCAGCTCTTGTGCGACGTCATAGGCCCTGTGCGACGTAAACCTGTAAATGACGACGTAATGTGCGACGTAATGTATACAACAACAGCTCTCTTTCATCAATTTAGGCTTATAAGCCTTTTTTAAATAGAATAGCAGATCCCGTTACACTTTGCACAGCGTTTGGAGTTTTTTTTCCCTTTTAATTAAGGGGCTCTAAATTTTATGATGATATGATAAAAATTATTGATATCACTAAAGATGATATCACGTGATGTTTATGCATCGATATAAGATCATTCCACTTTGTGGACAGAATTAAAGAGCAGAAGTCGTTGTCACATTATTTTCTTTGAAATTTCATTATTTTATAAATAGAGTTGCAGCTTTAAATTTATTTATATGCGGCGAATAAGTTTTTCCCATATGTTGATCGGAACGTTTCTCGGAGGGTTTTGTTCTTTGTATATTATGTACCCATATATTCAAGAGAAACGAAGAGAGATTAAAGATAATAAAAAAGAATAAAATTTGAATTAACAACAACTTAGTATTATATCGCAAAATACAGGAAAGTTTATAGATTAATGTTCGTTCAAAGTTTGTTGCGTAAAATTATTAGTGTTCGGTATGTATCTTAAGTTTCGTGACTGATATCATTAAGCTTGACATTATATTTTTCATTTCTGGACAAGTGGGGGTATTCCCCAGTGGGATTACCCCCACTTTCTCTCTGTAGCAGTTTCAACATAAACTGAAGTCAATGCTTATTAAACATGTCATTAGTAAATAGTAAAGAATTTAACTAAAGCATAGTTTTATAACTCGAATGTCAATAATTATGTCGTAAATTGAATATTTTATTGTTGCATAAAAGCTCTAGTTAAACGTTTTAATTTTTAGGATTTATTTTTTGATGTATTTAAAATTTGTTTTCAATTTCTATATTTTAGTGACTATGGCAGAAATTAATTCCAGGAAATCTCAAGGTCATTATATTCCAAAAGANAACTCCAAAAATCTGTTGGAAGTCCTATGCTTTTGATTGTTGATAATGCACCAACTCATCCCACAGAAGAATTGTTGAAATCCTCAAGAATCCTTAGAAGAAATCCTTAAAAACATTTTTTCCCCTCATTTCCACTATACATGCAGTAATTATTTAAAATAAGCATTTTTAAAAAATAAAATCCAGTTATCCGAATTTTTGATTATCCGAACGGGGTCCGGTCCCAATTGATTCGGATAATTGGAGTTCTACTGTATATTATTTATTTTATTAAACACATGAAATTTAAAAGGAAATATTTGAATTTTTTTTGTTCCTGGCTAACCGATAAGTACCAAAAATGTAAACGGTAAATAAGTTTTTCAATTAACACACAGCATAAATTACATCTACCTTGTGTTACAAAATTTGCATAATTCTATTGGTTTAAGTAATATACCTATAATATGAAATTGCAGAAATTCCGAATCCCTGAGTAATCCAAAGCTCAAACAAACATTTTATTGAGAAAAAAAAAGAAAGATGTAATAAATATGTAAAATATAAGCACTTTCAAGTTACTCTCATGTAAAATATGTATTGTATTTCCTTTCTAGAAAATAACTCAGACTTAAATTTTTCTTACTAAATTTGACAACATTTTAGGAAACGTGCAGCAATTATAAATATATTTAATAATATTAACTCCACAGCCTTATTTAATCTTTTTAAATATAACAAATATATTTTTCTTGAAGTTCTACTACCAACCCGACAGTGTTAAGCAATATTCAAAACAACACTTAAGATTTTGCTCAACACTCCAAAATTATCTTACTTATCCAGGGAGTGTTGATTGATTGAGAAAGAATATAAAAAAAAAAAAAAAAACTGGCAAATTCTTAACTAGTGAAAAATTTCAGCGCAGTGAATTCGAGAAAAATTATATTTTATACAGATTAAAAATGAACATTGATATTAAAGAATTGTGTATCCCTTTAAAATTAATAGGAGAATCCAGTATTAATCAAAACAACTGGATGATTCCTTATAATTTTAACAAAATTTCAATAAGAGCATTACATCAATACCTTTCTTGCCCCCTACTCTCCTGATCATTACATTTTCTGCTTGAACAAAAGTCTGATCTAATCATCATATTGTTATACAGGTTTGTCACTCAACAGGGAAATTTAATTTTCTTTAGAAACTGAAAAAATAAAGGGAATTTTGTTTTTTATTTTTGTCTTTTTAAAAATGGTAACCACTTAAAGTTCAATCTTTAGGATATTTAAGGATAATATTTCCTCTATATTCAATTAGTTCATTTACTATAGCATTATTTGTTTAATCTATGTTCAGCTTTCCATTTTCCTTTAAGTTTTTTCAGCAATTAAGGCTATTATACAGAGCTCATTCTAGGCAGAAAAAAGGGCAGGGTGCAAAAGTTTAAAAAAAAGGGCATTATTATTCTAAAAAGACAATAATTTCTTTCTATAGGCTTTACACATTCTATTAAAAAACACTGTCAATTTATTTTTTTTACTTTACTAAAAGTAGCAAAGCACTCATATTAATTACTAATTTTTATTAATAAATTAACATATATATATTGAGTTAATGAGCTAATTAGCTTAGTAATTTATTTAAAACGCATGCATATATTAATAAAATAATAAATGTATGTTTTTAAGTGTCTGTAGTTATAATTTAATGATAGTGGAAGTAACTGCAAACTTTCAAAGACTAAGTGCAACAAGGGGGTGTGGTGGCTATTTTTCCTTTCTCATATAAATCTATGTATTGACAGCAATGACAAACTAAATAAAAAGAGTTGAAAATAACAAAAGTTAAAAAAATCCATTGTAGAGTTTGGGGAAAAAATAAAGAAGGGTTGGGGAAAGAAAGGGCAGAAAGTGTATGGAGTCTATTACATCAGGACACTAATTTACTTCAGGGGCAACAGGGTGGATTATTTTGACTAAAAGGGCAGCATGGTGCTGCGCCCTGTTTACCCTGCCTAGAATGAGCTCTGTATTATAGTTAGTCCAATATAGTTCACGCAAGAGCGCAGTGATTGTGTGTTTTCTCTTAATGTATTGTGTATAATATATACAGGGAAAACACAGGGAATTTCTTTTTCATATTTATCAGCAATGAATAACTGCAGAGTAGGACTGGGCTATAAATCGATATATCGCAACATATCGATTTAACGCCTGTATCGACAGGCCGATACAGCGACTTTCGTTCCAGGAGATGCATCAGAAATCTGATTTAAGCCGTCGAGTAAAGAAGACAAACGATCTAGCGATACAAGGCATGCAGGCCGATGCAGCGACTTTCGTTCCAGGCGATGCATCAGAAATCTGATTTACGCCGTCGAGTAAAGAAGACGAACGATATAGGGATACAAGACACGCAAGGAATTCTATCAGTCTTATCGTCTTTCCCAACTCGCGCTGGGAAAGACGATATACGTATCGTTATATTGAAATGGCCTTGATTAATGAGCAGTAGAATCAGAATCAATTTTAAAATATATTGATAAATTTCAATTTTATTTATTTTTTTATTATTTATTTTTAAACTAAGAAATCTTTCGTTATTTGCGCGATCATTTTTAGAAAATATAACATTAATATCTTTCTTAAGCAAAACATATACATCAAATTCTTAAATTGATTTAAATCAATCTGAGTATGAAATTTTGATAGTAATCCGACTTTCTGCGCCTTACAAGTAAATGAATTTCAAAAATACTATGTCGCGATACATCGCTATGTAAAACTGACGATGCATCACGATATAAAATTTCTTATATCGCCCAGTCCTACTGCAGAGTAAAAACAAAGCAGTTGCTAAAAGAATTGCATATTACTGTAAAAAGCTTATTCTAAAGTTGAACTGTCTGTCTGTACAGCCGTTTCATCATCAACGTCCCTGAAGAGGAGAGAGTTGATCTGATTCGACTGTGTTTCCAGATAGAACTTGCACATTGGTTTTACCTGGATTTTTATTGTGAAGAGAACCCAAAGCTTCCAAAGTGTACTGTCAAAGAATTCATTAATATCAGTATCCTTTTCAAATAACCAACTACTATTGTTCATTTTCTTCATTTGATTGCCAACTATCCTGTGTTAAGTAAAATCTTAAGCAAGAGCAAAGTTTTTACTGAAGTATCAACGGACTAGTCATATTTAACCTCTTGCTACATGTGGATATTTAATGTTAATAAATTGGGAATTGCAAAGTAATTAGTGTAGTAGAAATAATCTATCTGAAAGCATGAAAATAATTTTTAGTCGAATATATAAAGTAGAATATATAAAATATGTTCATTAGGATATGGAAGTAGAATGCATAAAATATGCTTATTAGGTTAGCATATTTTGTTGAACGTTAAAGCTGAATTTGTTAACCGGTTTAGGGAAACCAAAGTAGTAAGCTGAGTTAGAAAACCGCCTATTTAGTTTTTATTAACTATGGAATCGAAAAATATTGAAAGTCAAGTTTAATCTTAAAAAAAATAAATTCTTTCTTTCTTTTTCTTTCCCCCCACCCCCCCTTTACTTTTTTTCCCTTTCGAAATTTTTAAGTAATACAATTAAAAAAAAATAACATTGATCATTAGAGTTTATTTACAGCAACCGTATAGCAAACAGGTGGTAGTTCCTCTCTCTCTCAAATTTCTTAGATCTCTATTGGCAAATCTCAGAAATAAAAATCTCATTGAATTAATTATGAAATGACCAGAAAAACATATTTTTCAAAAAATATTTCTATAATTAATTTCTTTGTTAAAATACCATTTTCATGTTTTTATACAATTTACCATTTTCATGTTTGTCTTTTTACAATTAAGATGATGCAACATTAAAAATTTATTGATAAAATTATGGTAGAAATTTAAAAATTATCCAATGAATTAAAAAATATATGTATATATATTTTTACACCATCATTCAATCATTCATTTTAAAAAGATGTATCCAAAAAATAGCAAATGCTAAGTTTTCTTGCTTTCAGATATTGAGAAAATATAGCGTAAATTTTACTGACTATCACTAAAAGCCATTTTGTGATTTCTGAGTTTAATTAACCGTTTAAGGAATGCTATCCTAATTTTTTATTAAGTTTTTTCCTTCCTTTTCTTTTGATTGCTGTGTTTAATGTATGTGCACCAAAATATTTGTGAATCAGTTGAATTGGGGATTTATATATGCGGGATATCTGCGCACCTGGAAAGTGATGAAAAATCATGGAATGTCATGACAAAATTTGTCATGATTTTAACAATTTTTTTTTTAAACAGTCATAATTAGTCGTGGATTTAGGTCGCTAAGAAATCTAATTTTTAAAATGGAATTTACCCCCCCCCCCCGAATGTCATGGTGTTCCAAATANACACAGTCATATTTTATTAAAATATAAAATGTTTTATTATGTTCCTTCAAAAAATGAAAGAAAAAACATTTCTAGAGCAAATTATCTTTTAAACTTCTGTGATTTCAGAATTTTCGTTATTATTTTCTATTTTTATTTTATCAATTTAAAATTCTAGCTGAAGCAAGCCAGTCAGTATTTCTTTTATTCCGAAATGAGAACAGAAAAATCAGGAGTATTTCTTATCTTTCCAATGGAACAAGAAAAGTATCTGTAGAATATAATTCTACAGAAAAAAAAGGGAAAAAATTATTCGCTTTTGTATTTTTTTCAGCTATTTTATTGCTTAAACTCTTTCTTTACTCTGTTTTTTAAATTAAAATTCTATTAATGTGAAGATGCAGAGTATAGCAGTTTTGGTTATACCTAACATTTTAATTAATGTCATCATAATGCTTTTTTAAATTTATTGTTGTGTTATTGTCAGAGAAAATAGTAACTTCATTAAGTCATTAAAAATTCTTGGAATTAGTCATGGAAAGTCATGAATTTGAAAATCTAAAATGTAGCAGATACCCTGCATATGGAACATGCATTTGAGCATTTTTTTTTTTATGTAGCGAGATTTTTATTTACTTTGTATATAACATTGCTTTTGAAGGCTAATTATAGTGCGGCTATCAGGAGAACTCCAGACACCCGTCTCGCGTTGTGGCAGGTACTATGGTTACGAGGAAAGGTCACTTCGAATAGGGGTGAATAGTCTTATCTTAATCTTAGCGTAGGTCCTCGTGAGTAAACGAATTGACACCTTCTTTCCTCCATTTCACCCCCCTTAGAAATGTGCTCTCACTTATTACCATAGCAGCAGACAGTCCCAGACTTTCAGTCTGGAGGAGTTCTCCTCAAAGACCCACTATACAGGGCTCCCACGGGTCAGGGAAAACCTGGAATTGTCAGGGAATTTTATTTTACTTCTTAAAAGCAGGGAATAGTCAGGAAAAATTTCAATTTTTAAATAAAAACCTGGAAAACTCCTACATTATACCTGGAAAAGAACAAGTCTCAGAATTGTCTGTAACAGTAATCAGTTATTGAAATTAGAGTTAAATAATTCTGACATCTATTACAATTATTTGTTGTAAAAATGTCACATTTTAGTGAAATTTCCATGCTTCTATTCTCATTCGATGATATTTCTTTTCTCGCAAAATCTAGTATTCGACATTACAAATAAAAAATCAAAGTTGTCTGATGAAAAATTGCATGGTGGAGATGAAACATAGTTCAGATTTTCATTAAAATTTTCCTGATATACATGGAAAAAATCAGGGAATTTTTTTTCCTTCTGAAATTGAGAAGGAACCCTTTATTTAGCTAAAACAAACAAAATATTTGGTATTCTTTGACTATTAAAAGTATTCAGGCATATTCCTTTTCTTCAAAAATATTGCCAAGATATAGATGCTGTCATTGCTGACTGGAGGGAATATAAATCTGCTGTACCAACATATGGAGCAATATTATTAGATCAAAACTTGGATAATGTTAGTATTTCTTCTCTTGAAATCATTTGTGTTTATTATTTATTGAATTTGTATTTATTGAATTATTTTTTTTAATTCAGGTTTTGCTGGTTCAAAGCTATTACTCTAAAGCCAGCTGGGGATTTCCCAAAGGCAAAGTAAATGAAGATGAGAAGCCCTATCATTGTGCTATACGGGAGGTAAAGTTTCTTTATTTTATTGTTATCAATGAAAGTTTAATAACAAAGCATTTATCAATTTAATTCAAATGTTGTTGCTTTTTTTAAATGTACTTTTAAACGATTGAATAAACTTGAATAGAAATTATCAAAAAACCATTGTAAAAACATGCCAGCAAATCTGTAACAAAAGAATAGCAACAAACATCAATTAGTAAGGTCCTTATACAGTGTTGACACTCCACAGGGAAAACCCAGAAAATACAGGGAATCTTAAAATCACCTAAAATAACAGGGAAAACGCAGGCAGTTAGGATTTTTTCTTTACAATTTGGGAAAACACAGGGAATTTTGTTTCATATTTTCGACTTTTAAAAAATGATGATCACTCAATACATAATCCATGGGATATTTAAGGATGATATTCCAACTATACTAAACTATTTAGTTTATTATAGCATTATTTGTTTTAAGCTNGTGTCCTTAGGCAATACATAAAAAAAAAAAAAAAAAACAGAAAAAGTTAAAACTGGCATTTGATCGAATTCAAACGGAAAAAAAAAATACTGAAATAGCCTAAAGATCTAACTTAATCAGCATATTTTAGGTTATAGATTAGGTTTTTTAAAATAAATATATTCTCTTGTAAAAAGTGGATATTTTTTTTCTGCAAATAGTGATTGGTTATCATGCAAACACCAATAACTTGAGCAGTTTATTACCAGGAAAACTTGAAAAGTCAACCGAAGTCTATTTTTCTTCGTTAAAATGAAGTTTTTAGATACTCAACTCTCGAAGTCATAATGTCTCTAAATATGCTTGACGTCCACCAACTCTGTTTAGTATTTATAGTTAGTTTAAAGTAGTAATCGAAGGAGTTAAGAATTACAGAGCACTATGGGACAGCAACTTTTAAACTGGCTATGTCTGATGTGCATTGAAAAATGTTTTAATAACGGAAGTAGTATATGGGGGGGGGGCTAGAGGACACTTAGCCCTTTCCATATACTACTATTGATTTCCTATTTTTATATTAAAAAAAATTAAAANACGAAATTATTCATACCTTTTGAATTTTTTTATTTGTTATACCCTTGTGTTTTTTTTTTTTTAATTTAATTAGTTTCTTGGGTGTGAAAATTATTTTGTTATTTGAGGATTGCAACTGATTAGCATCTAAATTTTTTTTTAAAAATTATGCATAATTTTAAAATGATTTATTTGCATAGAGTTTTTGGGGAATAAAAATGTTTTTGAGTTTGTTTAAATTATTGCATACCTTAAGAATGCTTTATTTTACGTATGTGAAGATTTTTAGTTCGATTTTAAACAGTATGGCATGTTATAGGCTCCCAAATCATTTCTCTGCCAATGGGCCCTACTTGTTATTAAGAAGGCCCTGAAATTACCCACTACAGATATAGGATCTTGATTCGTCATATTGATAACTCAATGCCTTAACCACGGGCCATGGGTTTCAAGTTTTTTCTGAGATATTTAAAAAAATATCTAAATACTATATTTTTTATTCATTTGTTTAAAAATTTGCTGTAAATTATTATGCGCTATCCATTTCGATACCAATTTTAAAAAAAATTCTTATCTTTTTCTCTTTCTTTTTGTTTGCTATCTTGTTCCTGATAGAATGTGAACAATACAGTAACAGGGTGCGTGGCATTTTTAGGAAGTGCTTGAAAGTGCTTATTTTTGATTTACCTTTTTTAAAAGCCCAGGTGCTTTTTTTTTGTTCGGGGCTTGTTAAAAGTGCTTAATTTTCTATCGTTTAAAAAGATTTTTTTTCTTTGCCGTATTGATTGTTGTTCTAAATTACAAAAAAATTCAATTGTGATTTTCAAAATTTTCTCTGCAATGTTTATCAGAAACTAGTTATTTTATCAGGGTTATGTAAAGTTTTTGAAAATGTTTCTAAATTTTATTGATTTTATCTTAATAAATTAAGAATTTTAAACGATAGAAATTTTTTTTATTTATTACTGCACAGATCCTAATTATGATTTTTTTTTGCAAAGTGATTAAAAATATTTTTTTAATGCGTGAAAAGTACTTAAAAGGTGTTTATTTTTTGTTGAAAAACCTGGCTGTGCACCCAGAATAATCTTTTGTTTAAAATAAAACTTCTAATTTTCAATCCTAAATGTATGACTTTGGTTTTAGGTTTTTGAAGAGACTGGGTTCGATATTACTGATTACATTAAAAACGAAGAATTTTTAGAGCATTACTTTAATGAACAGCTGATAAGACTTTATATAATTACTGGAATTCCTCTTGATGCCAAGTTCCACCCCAGGACAAGGAAAGAAATTAAAGTAATGGAAAAAAAATTATTATTTTTTTAAAATTCCAATTGTATTTATCTAAACAAAGTGAATAACAGGAAAGGTGTTGAAAAACTTATGCATCTATTATGGCGAAATTAGGTGCGGTTGTAATTGTATGGTATAATTGAAGATTATGATGATCATAATAAAAATTTTATTCAATAAAAGCTGTAGAGCTCGAAATACAAAATTAAAGAATATTTTATACAGAAGACTTTTTAAGTGAAATAATAAATTTTGCATATTTATATCAATAAGGACAGGCCATTGGAGATAAATCCTCCATGACCAGTCTAATCAAAAGCCAAATTAAAAAGTGATTAAATTGTTCTCAACAGACAGCTAGGAGCATGGGAAGAGATTCATGGATAGCGACTTATCGAAAGATAAAATAGCCCAAAACAAAGCCAACCCCCATAATCAATATTAAATTTAAAAATAGCTTTTTTGTGGCAAGAGAAATAAAGCGTTAAAAAATAGATTTTGATGTTTGTTTTAGTCACGACATTTAATTAATGAGTTTTACATTTGTTTTGAAATAAAAAGTTAGTCGCTCTATTGATAGTTATGAAGATAATAAAATTTTTATATTACATAGCTGCCAACTCTACTGGTTTGATAAAAATTCTCCTGGTTTTTGTATATTTTTAAAAATTCCCTAAATAGAATTAGTTTTTTTTAAAAAAAAGAAAATCTCTATCCAAATAGAATTTATTGCTTGCTTGAATATTTAATTAAGTATTGCTAATACAGTACAGAACCCGTTATCCGGAAATCAAAAAACCGGAATGAAATTCGATAAATTTTCCCGCCATTTAAAAAAAAAAGAATTTTTTTTCCTCATAATATTTTAAGACTTTTCTTTCTTTTTTGAAAGATGTTTACCTTACCATCATTTTGGAAATAATCATTAGTGTATTACTCCATCGTTTTTTCTTCTTTTTAAGATTATTTCCAAAAAAAAATTTTTTTTAGTTGGGTTTAACAATAAAAAAAAACGGCTTTTTGTAGCGATTCAGAAAACCGGAAAAATCAGTTATCCGGAATAGCGATGGTCCCGATCGTTCCGGATAATCGGTTCCCTACTGTACATAATGAAGCGAGCCTCATTGTTAGTAATCAGTTTAAAGCTTTTTTTATCTAAAATTTTCAGTTCATTTTTATTTAGAACTCCTTTTATAATGAATTAAAAAAAATTAACTAACTTTTTTTTTTAAATTACTTTTTTATTACTATTAAAAATGAGTTAACATAATTAAAAACATTTCTAGTTCATTTAATATCAATCATAAACGAAAAATATTGCAGACCATTTATTTAGTTATTAGAGTGATAAAGTTTTTTGTATTCTGATGACAATAAAAATCCTTAAAATTCCCTATATGTAAAATATTTTGCATATTATGCAACACTTATCGTGAGATTTATATTATTTTGTAAAATCTACTGGAATTTTTCTGACTCATGTATGATATTATGATATTAGCTTTTATTAAATGTTATAAAAATTAAATATTTGGATTAATTTAATTAAAATTTGATTGAGAATGCTTAAAAAAATTAATTTGAAAAAATTAAAGACATTTTAAGAGCAATGAAATATGTAATGCCTATTGTAGCATCACAGCATCAAACATGACAAAATTTGAATCCCAAAAATGTCAAATCATTTAGAAAATATAAAAATTTCAGCATTGATACATTGAAGAAATATGCATTTTTTTAAAAGATAGAGATTTTTGTAAAATTAAAAATAAGCATTGTTTTCTCTTTAAATTAATTTAGAATATTTGTACAATTTTTTTTATTCAAAATATTTTTTCCCTTAAACTTTTTAACAAATTAGGCTTTATATGATTATTGAACTCCCATAAACAAAGAAAGTAATTAAAGTAATGAAAAAATTAAATTCTATTTATGTACACAAAGTAAATAACAGAAAAGGTGCTTTAAAAACTATGTCGATTACGATAAAATTTGATTATCAAACATGTGATATCAATAAGAAAATGTTAGAAACGTTTAATCAGAATTATGAAAACTTTTGTAAAAATATGCTAAATTGCAAAAAAAAAAAGAAATTGAGATTATAGTTTGTAAAACTTTATTTTTGCTCTATAATTCTTAAACTTTTTCACCCATTAGAGCTTGGTTACCATTTTAAAGGTCAACTCTAAAATTGCATAGTAAGGTCTTATAAAAAATTTTTTTTAATGTATAAGCTCATAAAAATTATTTCATCTCTTTTAAAATTTCTAGAATGGCTTACATATAAATTAAAAAAAAAATCATTTCTTTGTTTATTTTTTATTTTGCGGTGGCCATAAATAATTCTGGACAATTTTGTTAATATTTAGGCATGTGAATGGTTCCCTGTCAATCATCTGCCCACTGGAAAAAGAGATGAAGCATCCAAGACAAAATTGGGTCCTAATAACTTCTTCATGGTTATCCCATTTGTTAAGTAAGTCTTTCGAAGTGAGCTGTACCTATTAATAGCAGGGTTGACAAACATCAGGATTTTTTTAATTTTATTTAAATAAGATTTTTAAATTTTTTTTTTATTTTTACATTTACTTGTCAAAGCATCTGATAAAATATATTAATGTATAACAATATTATAGATAAAATAATAAATTTTTTCTTACAAAAATTGTTAAAATTATTGTTTTATTGATACAAACTAATTACTGAATAAATAAAATCTTAATTCTTTTTGTTATAGCTTAACATTCTAATGAGTTTTGAGGACAGAGGCAATTTGTCAATTAGATATCCAATCCAATGAAGAGTAAATTAGTTTAAATTAAAAATCATTTATGCTTAGTTGAACTAGTCATTCTTCTTAATTGATACACACTACTAAATTTTAAAAGTATTTTTTTGATATGTTAACTATTTGTTTAATTATTTTTGTTTAAGCTTAACATTCTAATGAGTTTTAAGGAACCAGAGAGGCAATTTGTCAATTAGATATCCAATCCAATGAAGAGTAAATTAGTTTAAATAAAAAATAATTTACTCTTACTTACAGTTACTCTTAGTAGAGTTAGTCTTTCTTCATTATTGATATACACTAACTACATGTTTACTAAGTTTTAAAAGTATTCTTTGATATGTTTACTAGCAAATAATTTTACATAGAAAGAATAATAAATTTAATAGAAAGCTAAAAATTCTGTGCCACACTTTTCCACTTTGTCTCCTTTTTTATACTTTTCTATTTTTTGAAACATAATAATTTAAAAGCTCTTTCGCAATTTCTTAATAAAAAAAACCCTCATTATCAAGGATATTGAAATTTAAAAAAGAAACATTACAACAAATGAATGTATTTATTAATTATATCACATAAAAAATGTTTTAGACTTAATTAATTATTCAAAAAAATTAAGTCTAAATTAATTGTTGACAAAGAATAGAAAGTTATTCCTTTTATCAAAAACACCAATTTGAGTTTTCGACAAGTTAAATGTAATATATTATATATATGCACGAAATTTTGCATTCTGAAAAAGTACAGAAAAGTTATAACATATTTTTACAGGGATGAGATTTTTGCGCTTTTTAGTGGATTTCTGCCTTTTTCATTTTTATCTCTTGAATTTCAGCTTTTTATCAAAAATTCAGATTTTCTAAAAATTTCACATTTTTTAATAAATATTCCGCTTTTTCAGAAAATTCATCGATTTTCAAAGAGAAACAGAAAATTCAAACTACATAGTTACCAATCCTTCCACATTTTTACTTATTTTAGCTATTTTCTCCCCTTTTACATGCAGCAAATGAGATTTTCCGCATTTTTACCCGCCCGCCAGATAGCTCCGATTTTCGTAGTTCAAACGACGCTGCTTCTGACAAGCCTTTTAGAGGTCCCAAGCCTGGAATCTGCTAATATCCCGATTCTTATTCACACGATTTTAATATTTATTTATTATTTTCCTAACGGCAGGCACTGAACTTTAACGTTTTTCACCGAGGAAGATGCCAGAAATGTTACTCATTTAACGTTATCCAGTGGGCACCTGTGAACCTAAGTCACGGAGGCGAGCGACATTACCCACGCCACACTGCCACATACCTNCCCCAAAATAATTTAAAAAGTAATATTACTGATACATTTGCTATAAATCACATAACAGTATTTATTAAAAGAAATGAAATATTTATGTATATACTCAGTAGTTTTAATTTGCTAAACCAGGTAGTTTTTCAAGTAATAAGTCTCTTATGTGAACTGAGGAAAAATATAATTTCCAGCTTTATTTTTTCAATTGGTAATTTTTATTTTCACTAAATGTTAAGTATCAATGTAATAATTTATATAATAATAGATTAGTACACAATTGTATGTCAACACATTATTTATTATCTTAAACTGTCTGGAATTTATTATTAAAGGGTTGCGCTTGCGTAAAATTTACTAGTGTAGAAATTCAGCTTTTTTACCTTTTGGCTAATCTCATCCCTGTTTTTAGCAAACATATTGTAATTTATTGCTTGTCAAGTACTGATATAATTTTACCAATTAAATTAACATATTAATACAGGACAATATATTAACTAATTTTGAAATTGTGAAAATCAATAAAAAGTTTAAACAATCTAAAATTAAAAAGCTTTAAAAAAATTTTTAACTGATAGATTATTTAAAATAAAATTTATTTATTTAAATGAATGATCATTTTTAAAGGAAAAAAATCAATTGAATTAGATATATACATGGTTTAGTATATATATACATATATAAGAGTGGAGTATATATATATACATATATAAGAGTGAAGTATATATATGCATATATAAATCATTGAACCCTGCTGGAAGGAATATTTCCTCTGAGAAGCTGTTAAGGTGAAAAGCTTTAAAACATGAACAAGGAGAGGGATTTGGAAGGATTTGCCCCTTTTTAGTATAAAAAAAAGCGTATTAAAATTTCCTCTCTTCTTTCTTGCTTTATTTTGCATTACTTTAATTTTTACTATTTAAATCAATATTCAATGTTATCAATGATGTCAAAAATTTTGGCTGCTTTTCATTTTATCTTTTAGTTTTTTCTTTTCATTTCTTATTGCTATTTTAACACAGAGCCGGATTAAGCGTACGCGGAGCCTTAGGCCATTCAAAATTTTGGGGCCCTTGGATTAAATTTTTTCCCTTGTATATTTTTTATCTATTTAAATATAAAAGTATTTATATATCTTTTCATTTATGAAAGCATATTTAAAATTAAAATAAATAATAATAAATTAAATTTTAATAAGTAATAAATAAATATGATAACATTATATAAAAAAAATTATCGTATTTTATTAATAAATATTTGAAATTGATTTTTTTTTTAGAAAATCATTATTTTTCATAATTTTTTAAAATTTATTTTCCAAAAATTTATTTTCCAAAATTTTTTTTCCAGAATTTTTTTTTAAGAGGGCCCCCAATAGTTGGGGGCCCCAGGCCGTGGCGTAGTCTGGCCTAATGGATAATCCGACACTGTTTTAACATTACATTTATGTATGACAACAATCTTATTATTAACAACAATCTTACTATAGTAATAATTCAACCTGCTATAGTGAATTATCATTACAATGAACCTTTTTCTTGTATTTTGCTACTATTATTTATTAAAATGCGTTTAAACAAATCAAACTTTGATATAGAAAATTTTTCCTCTCTATTTAGACAACTACAAAAGTGGATTGCTTCATACAAAGAGAAGGAATCTCTGAGTGATGTTGAAAAAGATAGCAAAATGGATAAACAATTCATAAAGCAACAGCGTTTGTTTTCACAATTAACGAAAGTATGTTGTTCTACCTATAATTTTTTAAACTATTTTAGATTTCCTTTAGTAGCTTTTAAACTTAATTTCATTTTATGTACAGTGCGCAGAATTCATAAGGTATCACCTGTATAGCTTTTGTTCCAATGATCGAATTTTCCCAAACTGAGTGATCAACCCCAAATATGCTAATTAATTAGCTAAGGCCGGGATAGCCTGGTTGTTAGGGCACTGGGCCTGTGTCCAAGAGGTCGTGGGCTCCATCCCTGCCGACCAAAGACTCCCCATGTAGTAAAAATAGTGACTGATGCATGTTAAATCTGTCGAGTCACGAAGTCCTCCATGTTCCCTTAACAAATCATACCTCTGGGGTACCAATACAGGAGTTTCCTTGTCTTCTGGATTGATTCAAAGTTACAAGGCTACGGAGTTGAACATTAGTAGTCGTAAACCCTAAAATTGGGTCGGCTGTTCGACGAGAGATATAAAATAAAATTAATTTGCTAGATGGCTCAGGGAGTAGAGCGTTCACCTTCCAATGAGGTGAATTGGGTTAGATTCTCGATGATAGTTGGTCATTAAGAATTCAGCACCCGAATATCCTCAGTGGTAGGCGATTCAAAGGTTAGAGTCCCCTTGTCGGCAAGCTAACCGTGGGAGTTTATCGTGATTTTCCCTCTCCATGTAACGCAAATGCGGGTTAGTTCCATCAAAAGCTCCACGAATTTAGGCATATTTATCCCAATGCTTGGTTCATTAGTTCTCTTGTCTTCTGTATTGGATTCGAAATTACAAGGCTATGCAGTTGAACATTAGTAGTCGTAAGCCCCAAAAATTGGGTCAACTGTAAATTGATGGTTATAAAATTAATTAGCTGATTTATTTAAGTTAAAAAATCCGACATACTTTCTCTACATAGCTTCTTCTTTCTTTTTTTTCTTCAATGGAATTGATTTCTTGATTGACAGATTTGGGGTAGCCGCAACCTGGATAATATGGTTCCAATGGCGAGAGAAGTTAGGAGAGAGGCTTAAAGTTTGGGTCCTCTAATGTTAATTTCACTCTAAACGTGTTTTGACTTGCCTCAAGCTTTAAGCTTATCGAAAAATTTTAGGCAAATTCACGCGTAAGAAGTAAAATTATTAACTCTTTGATGCTCATGGGACACCAGTGTCCCATATATAAATTTTTTTTTTCTGATGCTCTAATTACAAGCAAAAATATATTTTGGTGCTTTTTAATTATAAGAAACAGTCTAGTATAAAAATCTGCTAGATTTTCAAAATTATATTAGTACCAAGATATAAAATCCAAAAAAAAAGAAAAAAAGAGTAGTTTAATTTTTTTTTCCATTCATATTCTAAACTTTATTAATAACTGAAGAAATTTCAAAGATGAATAACTGTTCCTCTTAATTCTAAGTAAGTGCAAATTTGAAAAATTATTGTTTGTTTAATTATTAGTCAGGATTAGTAATTATTAGTTTATTTAATTATTGTTTATTACTAAATAAATTATTATTGTTGAAAATTATTTATTATTTTCATTCATATTCAAAACTTTATCAATATTTGAAAAATTATTGCTGGGAAGATTTTACCTTTCATGAAGAAAAAGAAATTTCTTAACCATAAATTATTAAAAATATTATATTTTTCACTGTTTTACCTAAATTATTACAAAACAATGGAAAATATGTATAATAAAAATTCTGCATCAAAGAATTTAGAGAGCCAAACGTTTGACGATTCTCATAATGAATATGTTGGGACCATAATTTCCAGAATCTAGCTGCCCTTCAGTGGCGTAATGAGGGGTGGGCAAGGGGGGTCATCATGCCCCGGGCGTTACTCGCAAAGGGNGCGCGAGTTAAGCTCACTACGCCACTGCTGCCCTTCCCCATATTTTTATGATGAAAAATTTTGTGGAAAGAAAGTGTGATTATTCAGAGAAATTACGTTTTTGTAACTTAATTAATAAATAGCAATAATTAAATATCATAGTTTAGTTGACCCTCTTGAAGCATTAAAATTAAAAAATCTAATCTATAATTAAAAAATTTACTTGTAAAGAACATTAGAACATAAGTTATTTTAGGTGATCTTTTTTTTTATTTTACACACTGCACTAAATTATTTACAATATATCTTATCAGAAAATAAAAATGAACAGATATTTAATTTATGTAATTCTGGTGTTTTCAAATGGAATCAAATTACTAAAGGTGATTTTTTTTTTTTTTTTTTGCTAAAATATAAAAAAGCAAAATGAAATGTAAGGAACACAAAACAAAGTGTTGTAAATTTTTTTTACATATTATACTGTAGTTTTCAGATATTATTTATCATTTTGAAAAATTTACTGATTTTTTTTTTCCTCTTTCATTTTGATGGCTATGAATACATGCATTCCAATAGATTTTTTCAATTTTATTGTTTCGTTTTAAAATTAAAAGTTTTCTGAAAGTTTCCATAAGTAATAGAAAAGTCTTGCAAGAATGATCCTACTTTTCTGTCACACTCTGTACAAACTGTATTAATACTAGAGGCATAAATATTTAAAATTATAAACACTGTCCCTAGAATTTTTTTATCTTTAAAAATGACTTGCAATCGAGACATTTTCGATTTGTATAGTCATCCATTAAGCCAACTTCATTTAGGGTTCCATTGTTCAACTTTCCTAAAAAATTGAATTGCTAAACGATTTAAAAACCAACTTGACCAACTTGAAAGGTATAACTCGTAACTACCCCCTGGGTAAACATCTACATGTTTTTTTTTTTCTTTTTAAAAAAACTTGCAATTTTTAAATCTATTTGACACCTTGACGACAGATCAGGATACGGAAACATCCCCTTATATATTTTTTTAAAAATAAAGAGTTTAAGAATATTTTTTGAGTGCTTGAAAAGTGCTTATTTTTTGTTCAAAAATTTGGCTGCGCTAGAGGAATGAGCTTGTAGTTTAGATATAGAACCAGAACTGATTTTTCTAAAGATTGTTAGCAAATGTAAAGACATTTCATTGTTACAAGAATTGACTGTAACTCGCTATCAAAATAAGGTATGGAATTTCCAACCGGAAGGTGAAGACAAAACTAGTTCATAGAACCATATTTTTTGGATTATGGCTACCTCCATATTTTTTATGCTCAAGAATCTAAATTTTTCTAAAAAGAAAATTATGTTTATTCATGAAGAGTAGATTTTTGTGCCTGCATTTGTAACTTTAATTATTGTCTGCCCATATTAACTAGCATAATTAAGGTCAGCCTGAGTCCTTGGAAGATCGAATTTTTTACTGTGCATAAGCTGCAAATATTATTATTTTTCTTCTTCTCTTTTCATAAATCTTTATTATATTTTTTTCTCTACATTTTTAACTTTTTATGTATGTGCTTACCTGCCAAGTCTCCTGGTTTTTAACTAAAACTCCTGTTTTTTACAACATTCTCCTGTTTACCCGTATATTCTCAAATTTCTCTGTATTTGTTGAAGAAATTTGAAGGAAGAAAAAAAAATTGGCGATAAAATATCTGTGAATGGCTAAAATACTTCTCTTATTCCTCAACAGATGGTGCTCTTGCCAGTACTGCAGTGTGTTGAGTATTTATAGTTTAAGTAATTATAAATAATGGTTTAAAAAATCTTCTTTTGATTAAGATTTATTTACATTTCACTTCGCTAAATCTAAGTGTTTTTATTATTTCCAATTTTGACTTGCATGATTATGCACGATGTATCAAAACTTCACTCGTAACCCAAAAAATGTCGCTAATAAAATCTCTGTTATTTTATTTCTCCAATGTTGGCAGGTATGTATTGTGTATGTGTATTGTATATCACCTATGATATTAAAACAACTGTTTCTATATCTTATCAGCATTAGTGTATTGATTTTTAGTAGCCAAATATTTTGCCAGTTAATATAAAATCACACTTTTTTTTCTTCTACGTATTAGAAAGATCTTGCAACATATATTAAAGGTGATGCTTTTTCTGACAAGGGAAATCGTTCGGATTCATCAAATTATTCACCACCTCCTAGAATGCTACGGCAAAAAAACTTAAAACATAGCGAGAAGAAAAAAGTGTCAGGCTCTAATCATCCTATGGTTAGTAAGCAATAAAATTTTAACAAATTTGTATGTTATTTGAATGCTAATGTCGTGTTTTTATGTCATTTTTTAAAATTTTAACAACCCAATTATCAGAATTTTTTTTGAATATCTTTTATGCATTTTCTGTATAAAATTGCTTCTTCAAATTCTTCTCTAATTTGCCATATTTTAAATAAATTTTTTCTTTCCTAATTTTGACAAATTTTTTATTTAATTTCCTTGTATAAGTTATAATTACAAAGAAAAAAAAATTATTGTGACTAACTTTTATATCTTTGGGAACATGCATAACTGATACTTACAAAACTCTCTGGACATACATACTTTGCAAATTAATAAGGAAATACTTGCATAGAAGTTTCACAATGATTGAAATATGCTATAAGCTGTATAGAAAAGACTTTTTTGTTGGCAGGTAATTCTCTGCAAATAGCCTGAAATAATGAAAATGGAGTATTTTTCTAAAGAAAAATGAATAAGTTATTTGTTCAATATATAGCATGGTGCGTAGCGTTTTTAGCAAGTGCTTAAAGGGGCTTATTTTCATTTTTTAAAAGCCCTTAAAGGTGCTTTTTTCATTGGATGTTTTTAAAAAGTGCTTAATTTTCCCTTTTCGAAAACGAGGTTTTAATTCTTTATCATGTCGATTTTCGCCATATGTTATGCAAAAGCATGCTTTTCCCATTGTTCTATTCAACGTTTTTACAATTCATTCAACCATAATCCTTTTTGGCGTACCATCGGTCCATGGCATATGAAAGCACTAATCATTTTACATGTTTTACATTATTTTGTCGTGATCAGGCTTCATTTTCTACCCTTTGAAATCAAGCCGAAAAATCTTTCAATCTTTTTATGGTGGCTGATATAATGAAGAAAAAAAAGTTCTTTTTCAGAAACTAGTTATTTTATCACGATCATGTAAAGTCTTTGAAAATTATTTTGCATTCTTTAATGTATATAGTGCTTAAATTTTTTTTTTGAGTGCTTAAAGGGTGCTTATTTTTTGTTGAAAGATTTAGCTACTCACCCTGACTCTTTAAGAGATCTTTATTACATCATGTTGATTGTATAATTATGTTGTTGGTTGATTATTGTTGTGAAACGTGTTGTTGATTGATTATTATAACATATTTCCAGCAGCAAGCATGATTAGCAATTTGTCCTGAGGAAACCTATTTCTCTTCCAGGACTGTCATGCTGAAATATGCTTAGCATGCTTTTTAACATTTAAAAACTAATTTATTATCTTATTTCATCCTTTTCTCAATCTTTTTATACCATAACCTTTAATTGTGTGCAGAATGAAATATTTTTTTGTCAGAGATTCCTTCTGCGTAACACGTTAGCATAAACTCAAAAACTGAACTAAATGTTTTGATTTTATTAAATTTCGTTATTATTTCTCACACTTTCATGTCCGCCAACTGATAGAATGTGTAAGGATAAGAAAATGGCAATAACTTAAAGCAATTAATAGCCAATACATAAATTCCTTAATTTTCCTTTGATTTTTAGTTCGCTTAAAATGTTCTCAAGATATAGCGAAATATGCAGAAAGTAAAATTAATATGAAGGGATCCAAACTTTGAACCACTCTCCTGACCAAACTATTGGGACCATATTTCCAAGATCGCGACTACCCCCTGTATTTTGTGGGTCAGAATTCCGAAAAACTTGAAGAAGGAGTATGTTTATTCAGAGAAAGTACGTTTTTGTGTCTGATTTCGTAGCTTAAAATATCATCTGCACTTATTAATTAGCATATTTCAGGTCATCCCTTTGATCCATTAAGATTGAGTTTTAAAACGTGAAGATCCAATCATTAGATCAAATATTATTCAGGATCGTCTTGTTTTGGTGTACTGTACATCTGGTTACCATTATTTATTATTATTTTTTTTTACAATTTCCTTCATTATATCACATATTCATTATTATTTTTCTTATTCTGACTACTGCCTAATTTAAGAAAAGTTGAAAGAAGATTGTAGTTGTGGATTATATTCGCCATTGACAATAGTCACATTCTTTTTTTAATAAATAAAGTAAAAAACTACAATTTTGGTATTTTTTTATTATTTGTTTTTTAAAATACTTATAGTATTAATTTTATTAAAATGTATAATTTTGCAGGGGAAAAATGCTGTTTCCAAAAATGAGTTGAAGTTTGAAGGTATATAATCTGTATTGCAACAAACATTTATTGTTATTATTTATTTTCTTACACTTCTTTTTCTCAACTAAACTATTGGCTATTTTTAAGGTTTTAAAGAAAGCAAAGAAGGGCAAGAAAATATTTTTAGGCCATCCATTACATGGAAAAATTTTTACTTGGATTCTGAAGCAATTGTCGCCACTTTTAACATTTCCATGAGGTACATTCATATTAATATCCTTTTTATTCCCAAAAACCTTTTATCAGGGTAGCCAAACCATAGGGAAAAGTATGAAAAATGCAGGGAATTTTAAAATCACCTAAAATAACAGGAAAAATCCAGGAAAATTTGAATTTTTCTCACAAACTAGGAAAATGAAATTTTGTTTCTTATTTTCGTCTTTAAAATAATGGTGACCACTCAAAGTGCAATCTATTTAATATTTAGAGATGATATTTCAGCTATATTAAATTAGTTTATTTTCCACATTATTTGTTTTATATATATTCAGCTGTTCCTTTTTTCGTTAAGTTTTTTCAACAATTATAACTAGTATAGTTAGCCTTAGCCTAATATATCTCAGACAAGAGTGCTGTGATTGTGTGTTTCCTCTTAATATATTGTGTATAATACGTACAGGGAAAGCACAGGGAATTTTTTTCCCCCAGACTTAAGTGGCAACCCTATTTTATAGATCAGGGGTGGCGAACCTTTACACACCAACGTGCCATTTTTTCTAAAAAATTGCTTGATGAGGTCATAGACGTGCCGTCAAATAATTTTGACTTCATGATTATTGGGAAAATAATAATAAATACTATCAACTCAAAACTCTTTATTTACATTGAAAAAAAAAACATTTCGCAATGTCTCAGTTATACGCGTAATTCAACTTAAAGTAACATCAGTGTGACTTCTGTTGTTGCAGATTAGATGACAAATAACTTATATTAGGCTGTAAGATGTTAGTTTAAGCAGGACTGTTAAATTTTTTGCTAGTTATTTATTGTTAGCTTGTTTTTTTATGGTTATTAATTGTTTTTTTAGCATTAATTGTTAATTTTTTATTAATAATTGTTTATTATTTTGTGTGTTTTTTGTGAATTTTAATTTAATTGTTACACATGCTTCATAGTGTAATAACAAATGTGACCGGTGGCGTGCCCGAAATATTGTGCCGGGTGCCATAAATGGCACGCGTGCCATTGTTTCGCCATCCCTGTTATAGATAATACAGTAGAACCTCGATTGTTTGTTTCTGAAGGGATCATTCTTGACAAATGATAGATAGGGGAAAGGGACAAATGCAGGTGAACACAAAATACTAAATAGTGACTTGAAAATGTATCAAAAGTAATAAAGAAGTAATAAAATTGCGTTAAGTATGAGGAATTTATTTTAATAAAAATTGTTATAGATGCCAACGATGCAAAAGTAAAATGAATAAACACATTATTAGTTTGAACACACACTTATAGCAAACTATATTTGTGACTTGATTTTTGACTTTTTCATTTTGTGACTTGATTTGTGACTTTTCACATTTTCATGCATTTCTCCGAAACTGTAACAAATCCTAATTTTCTACTTCATCATTAGCATCAAGAGTTCTAAAACTGAAATATTTAAAAAAAAAATTTTTTTTTAATGTGGGTCAGATTTTTGAACAATATACACCAGAATTTTCTAGTTTCAAAAACAAGTGATTCAGGTATTATTAACATTATAAGAATAAGATTTGTGACAGGCCTATTAAAACAAGACGATCCACACAAGAAAATGAAAGATATTGGATGATGGATCGAGGTTCAACTGTATTCTATAAATTATACTAGTAGTTTTTTAATGTTTTATTTTTTCCATGTATTTACATTGTAAAACTTCTAATGAGTCTTTTGATATTAATTTATAGCTTAAAATATCTATTTCAAAGCCAACCTCTTATTTTTACGCTTTATTATCCAATTTCCTGCAGAAGAATATCTTTTTAAATGTTAGCATTTCTTGGAAATGCTTTTTTTTCCAAGCAGAATACTACTATAATGAGAATCCATAGCTGCCAACTCTACTGGATTTTCCAGTAGACTACTGGATTTTTTCAGTTTCTCCTTATCTACTGGTTAAAATTTTGAGTTTATTTTTTTTAGAATCCCCCTTTTAAATAAAAAAATCTTTTTATTGTCTTTGATGAATTTAATGCCTATTACCATTCAAAATTATGAGGAAGCATAATACGTAACTTTTCCAAGTCCATTTAACGTTAATCATGACTGAAAAATGTAGCAGTTTTTCTTGTTTGATTACTATAAAAATACCTAAAATTCCCCATGTCTAAAATATTTAGTGCATTTTCTAACAATTATCATGAAATTTATTTTATTTCGTAAAATCTACTGGATGTTTTCCTATTGATGTTGGCAGCTATAATTAAAAGATGTGATTTTTTATCTGCAGGGGTCTGTCCAGACAGTTTGTAAAAGGTCCGTTTTTGTAAAATTGTGAAACAATTACTCGTAATTTGTGAATATAAAATAAACATTAAGTCAAATTCTTTCAACCAGGGTCCTGCTTTTGTGAATTTGTGCAAATAGGGTCCTGTTATTGCAAAAAACTTTTTCCAAGGAATTTTTAAATTGCAAAGACATAAAAGATTATGCTCAACACTGTAAAATTATAATTAAAAAAAATTACATTTTAAATAAACAGCAATTGCTGCTACTAAATTAGAGATGCAACATACAAATATTTGGTATTTAGCCTATACTGCTGAATGCAGAATATTCATTTTTCGGACAAATAAAGGACAAAACTTAGTTTGTTTACATCAGTCTTTCTTTCCCCCCTTCCTTGGAAGGGTTTATTCGATTAACAAAACAATAATGAAGATAAACAAATTTGTGAAGGGTCCAATTAAAAGATAAATTATTTTGTGAAGGGTTAAGTTAAAATATTTTGTGAAGAGTCAGTTTTTATGAAAAGATATTTTGTGAAGGGTTCTTTAACTGACCGAAATTTCTTCTAAACAGACCCCTTATCTGACAGTATGGCATAATTAAGAGGTCTCTTAAATTAAACATACATGCACAAGGATAGATTCTCTCTCATCCATTGACAGTTTTCTGTGTTGCAGCCTGATGTAGGTCATTAAATAATAAATGTAAGATGTGAAATTATTTTACTTCTATTTAGGATTTATTTAAGCTGATTGTGTTATAACACTGCATTGCAATAACTATATACTCTTATTATTTTTTCATGGTGTGTAGCGTGTTTAAAAAGTACTTAAAGGTGCTTATTTTCAATTTTTGTTTTTAAAAGCCTTTAAAGATGCTTTTTTCATTAGGTGTTTTTAAAAAAGTGCTTAATGTTCCCTTTTCCAAAATGAGAGCCATTTCTTTTACCATGTCGATTTTCGCCACATATTACGCAAAAGCGTACTTTTCACATTGTTCATTGTTTTCGCAATTCATTCAACCACAATTTATTTCGGTGTACCATCGGTCCATACCGTATGAAAGCGTCAATCATTTTACATGCTTGATAAAATACTTACGAGTCCTGAAGTACTTGCAAGTCCGCATGTGCGTCTACTGAGCTGGGTTCAGTGAGATTATTGCACTCTCATGTGCAACTGCTGCACTTTGCAAGATATTCTCAATTTCAGGCTTCATTTTCCACTCTCTGATATCAAACTCAAAAATCTCTCGATCATTTTATAATGACTAATGTGATCAAGAAAAGAGTGCTTTGTCAGAAACTAGTTAATTTATCATGATCATATAAAGTCTTTGTAAATTATTATGCATTTTGTTGAAGCATATAGTGCTTAAAAATATTTTTTGAGTGCTTAAAAAGTACTTAAAAGCTACTTATTTTTTGTTGAAAAATTTGGCTATGCACCCTGTTTTTTTAATAAGGAATACAAATTGAAAGCACGCAAGATATTCTTAAGTTAGATGTAATTTCATCAGCAATTTTGGTGTGAATCTTTCTACATTTTAAAAAAAAATGGGGCTTGGCAATTATGATATCAACAATAATCATTTAATTCAAAATGTGTAATGCATTCTTAATTGCTTGGTAGGAAAAGTCACCCCATCTGGCGTTTTTGTTTTCCAGACTAACCTTCCTCCCAGATTGTTAGGAACCTACTATTACTACTAGTATTATTGATTACTGGCTGTTGATCTGGCTAGAAAAAGTGCATACTTTTATGATTGAATTCTCTTTATGAACAGTAATCCATTTTGTGGTCATTTTTGATGACCAAAGTGAAATGGTATTACAACTTTACGTTATTGTGTATATGAATACACATTTTACGCTCACTAAAATAAATTAATTTTAAGATTAAATTCAAATAAAAAAAGCAACTTTGCACAAAACAAAATTTATGTTTTAATTTCATTTAGAGTTTAGTAAAATATTCTTTAAGAACCTTTTTGTTTTATTCTATAGTCTGAAACCTCTGAAACTTTTTGAAAAAATTTTTCCNGGTACGTAGCGTTTTTAAAAAGTGCTTAAAGGTTATTATTTTCGTTATTTAAAAGCTCTTAAAGGTGCTTTTAAAAAGTGGTTAATTTTCCCTTCTGACATGAGATTTTTTTATTTTCGTTACCATGACGATTTTCGCCACATATTATGCAAAAGCGTGCTTTTCGCAATGCTCTATTCAACGTTTTTACAAACCATTTTGGCGTACCGTCGGTACATAGCGCCAATTATTTTACATGTTTGATGAAATACTTGCGAGTCCTAATGTGCGTCTACTGAGCTGTGTTCGGCGAGATAATTGCACTCTCGTGTGCAACTCTGCTGCATTTTGTAAGATATTCTCAATTTCAGATTTCATTTTCCACCCTACTTATATCAAACTGAAAAATCTCTCAATCATTTTATAACGGCTAATATGATCAAGAAAAAGAATTGTCAGGAACTAGTTATTTTCTCATGATCATATAAAGTCTTGGAAAATTATTTTGCAATTTGTTAATGTATATAGTGCTTAAAAATATTTTTTGAGAGCTTAAAAATTACTTAGAAGGTGCTTATTTTTTGCTGAAAGATTTGGCTACGCACCCTGACATGTGTTGTAAATTTGTTGCTATATAAGCACAAAATATTCTTTAAAATGACGATACTCACCGAATAAAAAATTTTTTTTTGCCTGTGAACAAGAACCTGATTGGCCAGTTCTCTGTGGGTAAATACTTTAGCCTAATTTGGTTCACATGTGGAAAAAAAATTGCAGATAGTGAGAATGATCCATAAGCTTACTTTACTCCAAGTTATAGGTGTTGAAAGCCTCTTTTTTTAGAAATGCAAGCAAATTCTGCAGAATATTTAAGTTGAAAAAATATTTTTTTCCCATAAGCATTGCTATTTTATTAAGGCTTGAAATTTGTTCATGATTGACAAGTTTTAAATGTTTTACTTAAATTCTTACCAAATCACAAAAACTTAACAATATGAATATAAACCTAGTATAATTGGAATCTTTTTAATACTTTTACTACCAAACCCTGATCTATTATGCCATACTTTTGCCTATGTTTAGATAAATCAACCTACAAAGCATTTAATGATGTTAATCATGTTCCTAATTAAATTCACATATTGAAAGATTCTTACCAGTAAAAATTTAAAAAATGATTTGATATTTTCTAAAATGATTAATCCTAAATTTGTTTTGAAATATCAAGTTTGTAACTAAGCTTTTTTTTTTTTTTTTTTAAAAAAAAGAACTTAATTACTATAAATTCTGGTTCCCAGTGTTCAGCACAAGAAGCTAACAAATTTGGTAGTAATTTTTCTTTCTATTTAACCTTAACAGAATAAATATATTAGGTTTCTTTTTTTTAGTGTTACATATTTAATATATTTTTCTATTTATTTCATATTGTTCTTCACTTTAAGTAATTTCTTTATATTTCATCACCAAAAGAAAGTTACAGGGTGGCCGACCACCTGGAATTATCAGGGAATTTTTTTATACTGGGAAAAACCTGGAAGAATCAGGGAAATTTGGACAGAAACCTGGAAAAATCAGTGATTTTTTAATGAAAAGCTGGAATTTTTTATTTGATTTTTCTTAATTAAAATTATTTTACCAACTGTTATACCCACTTTTAGATGAAAATTTATTGCCAAACAGTTGAAATACCATCAACTTAGCAACACTTCGCTTGCATCAAAATTTGGTTCATTATAACTCTGTTAAACTCCCATGGATAACCATTAAAGAATAGATAACCTTTCCAGGTCACCTCATTCCAATAAGGTGACCTGGCTAGCACTCTATTCCCCGAGTCAAAGATGATAACATTAAAAAAATAATATTTCAAATAAAATACTTTATAATATTGACATTTTTCTTGTATCCATCCTAAACTTTACGAGGGAAAAAAGCACATTGATCTGGAAATTTTAGGACTTTTACCTGGAAAAATCAGGGAAATTTGAAACCTGATTTGAGTGGCCACCCTGAGTTAACTATTAATAAGAGGGATAGATATTAATATTAAATTTCTTTTGAAGAGTTTATCTTTCAATAATGTTTTGTAATTATTTCATTGCCAAATAGTTATCTTATAACAATTGATTACAATGAAGTCAAAAATTACCTTATATTGTTTATACAAAAAAATGTTTTAAAAGAGACAGTACGTCTAGTTAAAAACTCATGCCATATAAAAACTAATTTAAAAAGTGAATTAACATTTAATAGTAAAAAAGTAACGATTATGAACTATTGGCTGAATATCAATTTTCCGTTTCGAGGGAGAAGGTAATCAATAAATACATCAGTATTAATCAACACTACGCAAAAGCCATGTACAAAACTGAAAAGCATATACCAACACAATGAAAACAGATTAAAATATTTTTATTTTATTACAACTGGAAAATGCTCTTTGTACAGGGGTGAAAAAAAGTAAAGAATCAATAATCAGTTCTGAATAACACTACAAAATAACACACTTAACTAAAAGACAATTAATAAAGCTGAAATAATTACAATTTTTATTTTAATCAGAAATATACATATTGCCAAATTAGCAGTTTTTTTTAATAATTAAGAAACCACCGTTCTTTAAAAAAAAAAAATTCTAAAATAAATGATATAGCCTTAATATTCACCTGGATAAAATGGTAGAATATCTTATGAATAGTAAAAAATTTAAGTTGATAATATTATTTAGTTCTACATTTCGAAACAAACAAAACCAGGAGTTCAAAAATATCCCCTAGTGGGATAAGCATCGATAAATTGGTGTGTTTCCAGGCATTTGTTTATGATTACTTTATTATCTCTTTGTACATCATTTTTTTGGTGTTTTTGTACATTTGTTTTTTTTTTTTAAAAAAAAGTTTGGTTATTTTTTTAATTGAAACCAAATAATTTTTGAGATTTTAGAACTTGCTGTAAAGTTAAAAAGTTTAACCATATTCTCAAAAAAAAAAAGCAATACAACATTCTCTTCAAGCTTTTAAGATCACTATTAACATTATATGAAACAAATATTTTATTAAACAGTGTTTTTAACACAAGTGTTTTCTTGAGCATGACATTTCTAAATAGTGAAATAAATACCACAAAATGCATCTTGCAATGCACGATCGCAAGCAAACTCTGCGAGGAAACCGCCAGCTTTTTCCTGTTCAGACGCATTGCGTACATGCATCGTGAACCCCTCATTCTTTAATGTATTGGGAGAAAATATATCCGGTCCTGCTATATCTAACTTAAAATCTTTGTAAATATACATATTTTGATTGTTTTGTTTAGGCACTGGTAAAAACACTTGTTGAGTTTTCATGCCAGTTGAAAAAGGGTTTGTCTTTTTTAACTTTGGTTTGAGCTCTAAAGCTGCTTTCTCTGAATGGGTAGCAAGTATATCTTTGGCTGATTTATTAGAAAACATGAGATCATCTATCAAAGCTTCTTTGTTTCTCCTCTTCTGTTTCTCTAATTCCAGTTCTTCCTTTATAGCTTGGAGCTTCCTGTTTTCAGCTGCTTCCTTTTCAGACTCCAGCAAACATTCCAATTCCTCTTCTTCTTTACTCAGCTTTCCTTTGTTTTTCTGTATTTGTGTCTTATTTTCTTTCTTATACTGCTCTATTTTTCGTCTTGTAGCTTCGATATTTACATCATTTGCCAGATTGAATATAATTGTCTCTACATCTTCGAGATAGTTGTTGTAGTCTAATAAGGAGGGAAAATCTTCTTCTTTCCTGTTAAAGTCTTTCATGACACGCCTGCGAATGTCCAATTCTTTTTCGACAGAAGAGTCTTCAAATATCTGAACTCGAAAGTTGTTCCGCCTCAGGGCTATGTTGCACTGAGGACACGCTGCTGAGCCCTTAACGAACAATAATTCCACACAGTTTTCGCAAAGAGCATGGCCACATATGTTGACCATCAATTTGAGGTTTGGATTTCTGTACTTTGTAGTCTTGCACCTTGGGCACTCTATATCTTCCATGTTTTTTCTTTTAAAATCTTTTAAGTAAAGCTAAAAAAGAAAGAAACAGAGAAATAAAAAATTAAGCATAAAATATATTCTTATATCAAAATTTAATCTAAGATGCCTGGGACATCTTAGATTTCAGGTTAGCTTAACGGACTTTAATATCCTGTATTAAAATAGATAATGTAAAAAAAAAATTTACTTTTTTGAACTGAATTTTGTTTCAAATATGAACTATCACTTATTAGTTATCGTTTAACAATCCTGCTGGGGAATTTTAGTTTCTTCCAGTGTCTTTGAAGAGTTAGGTTTCTTTCAGACCAAGTGCTAACCCAGTTTAGGTCTATCATGAAATAGCGGCAAAAAATTTTTTTTTTAAGCAGACAGTAAAAGGTACAACAATTATTGATATTAATAATTTTCTTGAATAGAATTGAAACTAACCTACATATTACGTAAATGCACTAGATTTGATGTCACCACATATGCAGCAATTCTTAATTGTTAGATCCTTGTAATGTTATTTTTAACATGCTTATATTAAACATTAATTAACTTTAAAGAACAAAAAGAAGCAGATTTTCCTGAATTTATTTTTAACACAATAAAACAAATAATCCATTCAAACTTTAAGCATATAAATTAACAAAATCTGGACAATATTTTATAAAATTTTCATTAAAATATTTTTAAAATTTAGCTGTTGAGAACAAATTTTAGGTAATCCCTCATAATATCAACAAATAATCCATTCAAATTTTAAATATATAAATTAATAAAATTTGGAGAATATTTTATAAAATTTTCATTCAAAGATTTTTAAAATTTAGCTGTTAAGAACAAATTTTAGGTAAACATATCCTTGCAGGAGACTTGATTAACAAATACTGAGAATCAATAAAAGAACTTATACTTTGAGATCAGACAATTATTGGTGAACACTTTAATTTTACTTAATCTAAAAAAATTTCTCTACATTGTAACATAAAAGGAATAAAATTAATATTTAGATTGATAATAATTAACAACCCATAGTTCTTACTTGTATTATGAATCAAATAGTTATAAGATAGTTCCTTCAGTATTAAGATTACAATTAGAAAAACTGATTAATAGTTTCAATAATTTTGGTAACCTTTTTTTGCCTGATATATAATATAAATAATAATTATAGTAGTACAATAATGCAAGTATTGTGCATGATTTAGTATATTATAAAATGTCCCCCATTAAAAAAAAAACTTTCCCCAGGTGACGAATTTCAACAGTTTTTGACACTTTTCGACGCAACATGTCAATGTCAAAAACCAGTTTCCGGGGTTAAAGTCCCCCTGCCATCAGGCTAACTGTGATAGATTTATGTTCTCTCAATACTTGATCTAGGACAGGGATGACGAACCAATGGCACGAGGCACAATATTTTGGGCACGCCACCGATCACAATTGTTATTACACNATTTCTTCTCAGTTATTAATTTGTATTTAGAGTTGAAAAAGTCGGTTATTCGCCAAGAACGTCTATCAAATATGTCAAAATTGGAATTCAAATAACTGATATTTATATGCAAGATATTTGAAAGTTTTACAGCGGCCTAGGCCAATAGGCCCATACGCCAAATACAATGCCAAATAAGATATAGGTTTCCTTTTGAAAAATCAAAACTGCATTCAAATTCCGGTACTTCCGGGAATTAACAATATCACTATTGAATTCCTTGGTGTCGATTTAGTTATTAGATTCTTCATTTCAAATCAATTATTTGCTCCATTCTCGAAAAAAATGGGTGGCAAGCATGATCTGAATTACCCTGTACATTATAACATTATTATTACTACATATATCATGTATATGTTATTGAATATTATTATTATTTGCACAATATTATTTGAAATTCATGCAATGTATAAAAAAAAAATTTGTGCTGCTGGCTCAGTCCAACCGGCCCTCAGGCCAGACCGGCCCACCGGGCAATTGCCCGGTCTGCCTACTGGCCAGTCCGGGCCTGTTTGGCACCTTAGTGATTCTAGTTGGAGCTACAGATCACAATATGGAAATATCTCCCAATTGAAATTCCTAATCATGAATATTTTGGCAGTCAGAGTTTTCCCAAAGACATGTTAAGAATTCTAATATTTCGATTTGGTACATTTTAATTAGCCAGCGCTGCGAAAAGTCACCAAAACAGGCAGACCTACGACAACCTTTTCTTTATTTTTCTTAAGCCCACAGAAATTAAATAAGATAAAAAATATTAAATAAAATAACAAATATTAAATAAAATGAAAATATATATATAATGAATGAATGAAAAAATAATATGTATGAATAAAACAATAAAGTTGAATTTCCTTTCGAAAGTACCTCCCATTCTCATTTATGATATGTTAAACAACATTATCACATATGATACTCATATGTTTTGTTAAACTAGTATAGACAGAAATGTCAATCACCTGATAGCAAGAGAAAAAATAACTATTTTACAACGAATCACAATTGCGCAATTCTTAGCTTACATAATTCTTATTTTCATACTAAATAAACTAATAATAGAAATAGTATATTTTCAATCAAGTTGCGACCCTTTTATTAAAAAAACCAGAGACAAAACTTAGTCCAAAACAAAGAACTACAAAATGAAGTAGAACTCAACAGGAGTATGTGAAATTTTAATTGATTGATTGATTCATAGCTGTTAATGGTGTCCGGTTACCTATTTCTGTGGAAATGAATAACCAAATACTATAAAGTTAATCAATCATCAAGGGGTCTCTCTGGTTGAGCGGTATCTCAAATGCAGAGGCAGCGGGTTCGAAGTGTTATCTTGCTTTAATTTGACAAAGGCTTATAAGCCTAAATTTAACACACACCTGAAAATTGTCAATCAATCATCAATCAGTTAGACGTGTGCGAGTGGAGTGGACATAAGTGTCAGTGTTATGGTTTGTAATTAAAGGAAAATAGAAAGTTCTTTTAACTTAAAGGAAAATGCCTAAAATTTTGTTTATTTAGTTTTGTTTATATAGAAAGTTTATTATAATGGTTTTTTCTTTATATAATTTATTTGAAGCTACTTTACTTTGTGTTAATGCCATCGCTGTACTTCATGAAGAACGATTTTTGGCCAAAGGTATAAATAAAAGTTTGTCTCATTTCAGTTCGTTATGGTATTAAAAATAAGCTAGGTTAAAAAGGAAATTAATGGCTCTTTAATCTTTTTTATAATTATTTTCAAGGGGTTTCAGAGTTTTCGTTATCAAAAGCGATTATTATTTTATACTAAGACGGTGTTTTACTACAAACACATTATCTTTGGGCTATAAAAATTATTTAATTTGTAAATAATTTTCTTTTATTAAATTATTGTTATATACATGTGAATATTTCATATGTATTGTGAATATTTTAGTAAAACTATGTTATCCTATGACTATAATCAAAGATGTTAATCTACAACTGGGTTCACTTTTGGTGACTTATTTGGCTTTGGGATTCTTATCATGAGAATATTTCCCTCTCGTGATCTGTGTAAGAATAATTGCAAAGTCTTGGGAACTTCCGAGCAGCTGCCCGCGAGAAACTAATAAAAACATCATAGAAAAGGGCCTACTTGAAAGATATCACTTGTAGTCACACCCGGCAAAGCACCTACATATTTTTTAAAAAGAAATTGCAAATTTAATATCTATTTGGCGCTTGTATTTGGGACAGATTAAAATACAGAAATATTTCCTCAACTACAATCTCCAAGGTGCTAAATAGATTTTAAATTTGCTATTTCTATTTATGCATACCATAAATTATTTTTGATTCCAAATATTTTTGATATTGGTCATTAATTATTGGACTTGTGAGTACACTAATATGGCAAATGAATACTTCTTGTATAAAGTAACTTAAAAAAATGTGAAATATTAATAAATAATTTTATGTTTGTACAGTTGGATGGGGTAGAGACCAAAGCAGAGGATTTGGTGAAGAGCCTGGTGTCAAAGGCCAGTTGATGAATTTAATACATTCAGTTCGTACCGTAATGAGAAGTATGTAATTTTTAATCATTTAGTTATAGAATTATTTATTATGTTATATATTTTCAGATTTACTTTTATAAGCCTGTTAATCTAACTTTCTGCATTCGGTACGTTTCCGTTAGATGGACGCAAATGTCGCCGTTTGTGAACCAAACTCGAGCTAAGTTGCCAAGTGAATGACAAAGCAGTCAATGGAATAAAAGTCGAAAACGTTCTATATAAAAAAATATTTATTAATAGTAAGCTAAAAAAGTTCAACTTTAAACAAATATTAATGAATTGTAAGCAAAACAGCCGGGTGCAAATGTAGCCAATTGTAAACTAAATGCGAGCTAAATTGCCAAATGAATGACAAAACAGTCAATGGAATGAAAGTCGAAAACATTCAACTATAAGCAAATATTTTTTAATAGTAAGCTAAACAAATTCAACTATAAACAAATATTTTTTAATAGTAAGCTAAACAAATTCAACTATAAACAAATATTAATAAATTGTAAACAAAACAGCCGGACGCAAATGTCTCCAATTGTGAACTAAACGCGAGCCAAGTCGGCAAGCGAATGACAAAACAGTCAACGAAATAAAAGTCGAAAACGTCCAACTATAAACAAATATTTATTAATAGTAATCGAAACTAGCTCAACTATAAACAAATATTAATGAATTGTAAACAAAACAGCTTTTACCTAAGGCAAAACAGTTTTACATTATTTTTTAAAGCATAAATTAAGATGGAAGAAAGAAAGGAAAACATGCTTTGTTTTGAATGAATTCAGAGAATAGAGCTCATGGCTCCAAACTAACATTCCCTATATAGTTGAAAGAAATTTGACGGAATTCTACATTATTTGGCGATGTTTCGCTTGCGCCCGACTAACGGAAAAGTACTCTGCATTCTTCTATTTTAATATAAGATTGATCATAAAACAAGCAGATACAGTCGAATCCTGCTTTAGTCAATTCCTAGGGATCGTAGCAATCTCTACGCAGTAACAAAAATTTGGGTACTTACGTATTAACGCAACCAGGCCAAAATTCGCATAAATCGCCAAATTTGGCAACCCTACGTGTTATGCGTTGTTTTTCGTAAACAAATTATTTTGCTTACTGGTTAGATTGAATGCCGTGAAATACTTTAACTATGGGTATTTGGGATCTGCCTGCGAGTGAAAAAGATGCTGTTGATTTGTTACAGGGATATGGAATTATACCGAACGAACGTATTTGTAAAAATTCTCATAAAATGAAACTGTATTTTGGAAAGCAAATCTTCTGGAACAGTGCAATCAACACTTGGGTGTGAGAACCGGAAATTGGTTTGAAGGTAGCCGAATTTCATTTTTGACAGCGGTGCGCTTCATTTATTGTTGGTGTAAAAAGTTAACCTCAATTAAATTTTGTGCAGAAGAGATGGGAATTGCTGACAAAACTGTTATAGATTGGAACAATTACATGCGGGAGATATGTGCCCTTGAAATGGATGAAAGAGAAAGAAAGCAAATAGGCGACGAAGGACTTATTGTGGAAATAGACGAAAGCTTATTTGTAAAAAGAAAAAATAACGCTGGGCGTGTACTACCACAGCAATGGGTTTTTGGCGGAATTTGCCGAGAAACGAAAGAGACTTTTTTGGTTACTGTACCTAACAGAAGCGCCGTTACCCTCATGAAAAAAATTTGCGAAAATATCAAGGAAGGAAGCATTATTTATTCGGATTGCTGGAAAGGATACAAGACAAGTGAGTTCGAAAATGCTGGATTTCTGCATGGAACTGTTAATCACAAATATAACTTTGTGGATCCCGACGCAGGCATTCACCCACAACATGTAGAGCGCATGTGGGGCTCAGCCAAATGGCGCAACAAAAAACAGAGAGGAACAGCCCGTCATCATCTTGACTCATACCTTATCAAATTTATATGGCGCTAAGCTCAAGCTGTTAATGGCGAAGACGGTTTTCAATAAGTGCTAAAGGCAATAGCCAAAAGATTTCCGCCGAAAAAATAATTCTGCAACTTATTCAAATTCGAAACCGGAAGGGTTTAATTGCTATTTTATATTTTAAAACAAAATAATGTAAAAAACTGTATTTGTTATGAGAAATAATGCACTATGTGATGTCGAAATAATATGTAATCTAAAAGGTTATTAAAATATATGCTTATTATTTTGTTTATAAAATACTTTGTTTTATTAAAAAAAATTGATTTCAATTTTTTCTGCTTACGCCAAATTTGGCGATTAATGCGAATTTTGGCTTGGTTGCGTTAATACGTAAGTACCAAAATTTTTTATAAATCGATATTATGAATTTCAACAGTGACCAAAATTATTTTGTTACGTTGGAATTTTTCGCATAAAAATATAATAAATATTACATTTGATTACAGTTTTGATCTATTTGTACTCTACATGCAGAAAATATATCGATATTTTAAAAGCTCACAAAAGTTGCTTATTTTCACCTTCGTTAAATTGGATTACGAATTTCGTAATATCGATATTTTTAATCCATTGTTTCTATGGAGATTCATTTCAGGGATTCGGAAAATAATTGCTACATTGAAATTTTCACTATTTCAGATTTCGCTAAAATAGGATTTGTCTGTATTATTGTATATTCACACCAGGGTTGGCATTTTGTCCCAAAGAAAGTTATTCAGTTGAATGAAATCTGAGAAAACTGGATGTATTGGAAGAAACTAAAAATGACCATTAAAATTTTTTTTAGCAATAAGTATGAAAGCTTAAATTAACAAAAAGTTATCTGATTGAGCATTCATATTTAACGTGATTATGTAAGCTATTAGTAATAATAAACTCAATATGCCACTTGTAGTTGTGTATGTGCACAGTAAGACTAAAAGCTCCTATTCTGTATCATATGTCTCACTTGAATATCTGTACTAATAGGAAAATTATATTAAATTGTCTGCAGCTACATCTAGAATTATGTATTAATATCAAACTGTTTTATATATTCTTTTTTATCAAAAAAATATTTTTTGAAGGTTAAATAACTATCCTTGAAGATAGTTATTGTAGATTATTTAATTGTTTCCTATATCTTTGAAAATATTCTAAAAACAATTTACGGTGTTAAACTTCGTTATTAGGGTACCCTTCCCATAAACGGACAACTCTCATAAACAGAAAATTTTTTTCTGTCCGCTTAGGTTTCACGTTTGTATTTAAAGTTATTTTCCACATCACTATGTAAATTATTCATATGAAATGCCGCTACGTTCCATCTCTTGGGGTGAGGATTTCAAAATGTTAACAAAATTACCAAAAATTTATGAAGCTTCAGTTTTTAATTGTCTACCACTCTATAAAATATTCTGGAAAATATGCATTTGTTGGCAGCCCTGACCTTAAATGTTTGAGTAAAAGATGACATTGAGGAGTAGATTATGTGTCTGCCTACTATTTCATATAATTCTAGTGTAAGTCTTATTAATCTTTATAGAGCTACTCATTTAGTCTTATTAGTATTTAAAATGTTACTATGCACTATAAAGACTAATACTTATTTGCAAAATCTATGCTGAAATTAATCAGTTTTTAATCAGCTAAATTGTTTTTTTTTTCTTCTTCTTTTCAGTTCCATTAATATTCCTGAATGCTTTGATTATTATATTCAAGTTAGTTCTAGGATGATTTGAATGTTTTACTCATTTTGTCAATAAAGTTTTATGTAAGCACATTCATATGTGTTTTATTTCTTTATAAAGACTTTTGTTATATTTGTGTGTTGGCTTAAATGTCATGATAATGGTTACTTGTCAGGTAATCGGAATTTCATTACAGGGAGTGTGGAACCTGGGGGGTTGGGGGCTTTAGCCCTCTCACATTTTATAAATGAAGGTACACAGCCCCTTTAAAAATTAAGAAATCTAAAAAAAAATGAAATAGACTTTCTAAAAAATGTCTTAAATAAATAAAAAAGCACTGATTGATTTTAAGCAAGCTTTAACATTTCCTCGGGGGAAAACTGTTATTAAATCATCAGGTACTCCTCCCCACGCAGAAAAAATATACATCCTTATTGCTGACCGATGGAAAAAGTCTTGGTTTCAAATGTCACAGTGAACATAATTTAAAAAAAAATGAAACAGTGTAAAAAAATACCGCTAAATGAGTGATAAATAATTTACAGGTAAGTAATTAATTTTAAAACAATTCAAACCATGAAGTTAGAATTGCAAGGCAACTTTGAATTTTTTATTGCTATCTTGTGAGGTTCAGATAATTCGGACAAATACTAAATAACCCCGTAGCAGAATGTTAGAGTTCTTGCAGAAGAATTTTTCCTTTGTTAAGTAAATAATTTTTGCTTCCTTTTCTGCAGAAATGTTCGAAAAAATTTTTTTCCTTCAAAATTATGTTCAAAACATGCCCAACTCGTGCAGCGGAGGGTAAAGAATGGTCTTGATTTTCTCATTTGAGAATAATGAAAAATAAAGAAGAATGAAGTAAAAAAAATTGGTTTTCTTTTCTGCTGAAAGTTGCGTTTTTTATATGTATATTCATATACATAATTTTAATCTATGATGCACATGGAAATTTTAGTTGACGCATTTGAGTCTTCACTTTATCGCTTACAACTCGCACCGATTCCGTTGAAAATGTTTTGTTAATTTTTTTCGGCAATTGGGTATAATAGAAAATGCCGTTCATGGGTTAAATTTAGTAGGAATAACACAACCTGTGACGTAGGCTATAGTATACCCAATTGCTGCAAATTTTAAATTTTTTTTAACGTTTCAGTGTTTTTCATTGCTTAATTATCATTGATATTCTTGATATTAATATGAAATTCCGATATTGGCACACGGAGTTTGAATCGCAGATTCAAGAAATCACTCATAGACGTACTTGTTTTGCGCCGATATCCTCGTTCATCCTTGCAGTTTTTCAATCGACAGTTATTGCTACGAATTTTCACAATTTAAAAAAAACATTGTTTTATGCAATTTTATTACACGTGAAACTCAAACTACTTATTTTATTGTTTTCTTTGAATAGGACAATCTCATCGTTTTTATCGCTAGTACAACCCAATGACATGGGATTTTTAAAATTCTGGTTATTTCTCAGTCTATATTATTTCTACACGAATCTATATTATTATCAGTCTATATTATTTCTACACGAATTTGAATCATGAATTTAAATAATCTATTTTTGAAACGCCCAATTTATGCAAATATCACAGATCCATGTAGTGTTTCGACTGTATTTTCGTCAGTTATTTATATTGATTTCCCCATGGTTTTTAAACATCCCGATATACTTCTGACAATATGAGAAATTCGAATCGTACAATTTAATTATTAATGCAATGATTCTATCGCTTTTTTGGCAGTTATTGCTATTGATTTTCGCATATTTTTCATTAATGCAACCGAATCTGGAAACGAAATAAGCATTTAGTATTCTCTTCCTGAAACATCTGATTTGCATGATTTCGCCATCTTTTCTTTTTTGCGGTAGTTGTTACGGATTTTACGGTTTTGAATTTTTTCAATGTGATAATAAATTTACAAAATGTCTAAAACAAAATAACTATAGTTCGTTCACCAGGAGTTGGAACTTGACTCCGCCTTCATCACGTGGTATCCGACGATACTATTTTTGAGAAAAGGATGTGAACAATCCTGAACTAGGTTGCTATTTGGCGATCTTATGGCAAAAATATTTATTTCGCAATCTTCACGTGCATTTTTTTAACATTAAATATTTCATAAATTTGATGATATATCTCTTTTGAATGCATATTTTGTACTTTGAGACATTTTGTTGAGAAAACAGCTGTTTTTAAATTTGATATATATTTAATTAACTAGTGTAACGAAAGGTATAATAGCAGATGATAAAGCTAAGTAAGTGACTGAAAAAGAATTAACGCGCATTAAGGGTTGTGTCATTTTCAAGACCGGATATGTTTCTCTTCTTACTTCCACGCTGAAATGAACTATGCGTTTGCCAACTCCTGGTGAATGAACTATAGCTTGTTTTTCCCCTTACCAAAGCGGTGAACAGCGCCCATAATATTAGAATAAAAATATATATTCAATCAAAAAACCCTATTCAAATAAATTTGTATATATATATATATTTTAATCGTACATATCTTGCAAAGATATTAGAGCTAGTGAGGTTTGTGGCAGAAAGCTTGAAAAATTCCGCCACAGGGCTAAATAATAATTAAATTAATATATACTCATACACAGGGAGGGAGCCCCCAACTCTTGAGATAATTCCATGGTCACTGCTTTATTATACATTGCTAGTTGAATATTTGTTCTTTGTACAACGTTAAAATAAAGTTAATAATCAATTAATTGCTACTGATCAACTCAGCTACTTAATTTTCTGCAAATATACTAATTTTTTTGTTATAAAAATTTAGTGCTAGAACACTAACGTTTATATAAAAATTATCATTTTCCACCAACTTGATTAAATGGATCGTGGTGTATGACAATTAAGTCATTTAATAATATTTTAGTCATATTATTAGAATTTTTGTTCTTGCAACTATTTTCATGCTTTAGACCAGTGGTTCTTAACCTTTTTAAGCCGCGACCCAAATTTGAGAAATATGCTCATGTCGCGACCCAAAAAAAAGTCAAAATTTTTTCATTGCTTTATTTTAGATCGTATTTTTAAAAATGTTCAATCCTACGATGATGATTTTTGTTAACTTACAAATTTTTTATTTATTTTTTTAATAATAAAGATAAACAAAAGTACTTTTCGATCCAAGGAAAATTTAATTAATAATCAAGTGTTTTTAATAATTTTTATTGACCAAATTAAAATATATTTATAACTTTTTGAAAATAATTGACNAGCATTTATCCGCAGAATGTTATCAAAGTTTTAATAAAAATATCGATGCGAGTATTGGTTCTTAAATAACTTTAAACTAATACACAATAAAATTAAATCTTTATTAAGTAAAACATTCATATTTTTCATAAATAAATATAAAAATTACATTTGCAATAAAATCTTTTTACATATAGAATTAAAATATATTTGAATTATATATAATGTTATATACACATCCATCAGGTCATAAAATGTTCTTTAATTTGAAGCAGCAACAGGAAGTTTTCCCCTTCGAGCACATTTTGGGCAAGGACCTTCCCAACGAAGGTAACAATCTCTTAATGAAAATAAAAAAGAAAGGAACAATGTAATTATGATAAGCTAAGTATGCAATTTTTTACAACAGAATGCTGTAAGAATTTTTACACTGTTCTGATCAGAGTTGGTTTTTTTTTTTTTTTTAATAAGTAAATATTTTCAGTTTGAATATTGACAAATGAAAACTCACTCATATTTTTTTTATAATTTTGAGTTTAATTGCTAATTGGAATTCGTATACTTGACCATTTTTAAATGTTTCCGTAAGATTTTGACATGCATACCTATGTAAAACCTTTTAAATGCATACCTTTTAAAAATGCCCAAAATAAAATAGACCATCACTAATTTCATGTTCTGTTAGTTTTTAAAATTAGTTAAAGCTGTAATTATTTAATAAATTAAAAGTTTCTCAAACTTTTATACAAAACAACTTTCATACATTTCCTCAAAACAAGTCAACATAATTCTTTCTTTTAAAAAAAAAGTTTTTTAAGGTAAAAGAAAAAATAATATGTTCCAGCTGATTTTTTCACATTATGCAGGGGTGATTGTATCCCAGAATTTCGGGTTTTTCGTATTATCCTTTTGGATCCAAAAATTAGTAGCAGGGCATATAATTTTTCTTGGAATATCGCGGAATTCCGCCTTTCCCAAGACTGTTGATTCTCAGCTAATCAAAAACTTATAATTCGACGAAATTTTCAAAGAATTTCTCAATCTAAAATTTTGCTAATTCGCGCTACCGAGACACTTACTTACACGTGATTTTTCTGCGAATAGGCCAATTTATTTTTTTGGTTTGGCAGAATTTTGCCATTTTGAATATTCAAAACTGCGCTGGAATCCGCTAATATCGTGATTCAAATTCACGTGGTTTGAATAGCAAACATCGATTTTCGTATTTACTTACTTTAAAAGTTACACGCTGCGATTCATATTCACATGGTTTAAAAATCGTACTTCACGATACTTATTCACGCAATTTTAAAATAATATATTCACAAGATTTTAACATTCAATTTCGCGATTTCATATTCACACGATTTTAAAAAACAAATCTTGCGATTCCTGTAAAAACTAAGATTAGTTACTACTATAAGGATGTGACAGTGACTTGATTCTATTCATCACTGATGGGCAATTTAATTATAAATCATGTTAAAAAAAATTATATTAAGTACAAAACATGTATGGTATATAAATTGATATCTTGATATTGATTTTTTGCACATAAAATGTTCAGGGTTTTTCACTTTGTGTCACAATCACCCCAGATTATTTTAATTAATATAATCTATGTTATAAGAGTATGCATTTATTTAATTCTAGACAACAGAAACAGGAATTAAATTTTATAAATACATATAAAATAATTTTTCGATATAACAAAATTCCTATTTACTCGAAGAATAAAAATGTTGAAAACGATACCAACATTACTGTCTATTTAACTGTTTAATAAATAATAAAAAATGTGCATAAGAATTTCTTTTAATTTTGTGTATTTGTTTTAATTCTTTAGTTTTAGTGAAACAAAAACGTCTAGCTTAATGATACTCGCTGAAATTATTTGACTAAATTACATTAAGTGAAATTTTAAGTATAAGCACATAGATTGTAGCGATGATAGACAAGTATATTTCAACGAACTAGATTGGTGAAAGTGTTGCTTTGTTTTCGGCGATACCGAATGATTAACCTGAAATTTTTTTCATCTATTTATATAAACAAAATTCCTGACAATTTCAGATTTTTCTATTTCTTCCTGGCCCGTGTGAGCCTTGTTAGAGAACTCCTACACTCTCCTGTATGTTTATCAACCAAGTTTCAACAGTTCTCAATTGAAAAATCACACAAAAATGAACTATCAACTTTTTATAATATTTAATGTACCCTATTAACAAATCTGAAAAAAAAAATATTATAAATTATTGATACATATAGTAATACTTACTGGTGGAAAACAGATGAACAGCTGCAACATATATCAGTTCGAGGATCAAAAGGAAATATTACATCTTCAGATTTGCATAGCTCACAAATAAATCCTTTACCTCTACATCCCTGAAATATAACAAACTTAAGGTTAACCCAATTTAGGCCAAGCATAGAAATTTTTAAAAAAATGTAGTACTATTTTTATTAAATATGCTTAAATTACATTCATTAAGACAAAAAAAGTTTCATGCATAAAAAATACTTAATTGAGTAAATAAAATGGTGCATATACACACTATTAGCCAAATCAATCAATAAACCATTTAGTTAAACATTAAGTTTTTTATGTCATTTGTTTTATTTTATTTACAGAACTTGCAACTTTAATCCATAATAAAACATATGATTAATCCCAAGTGGAATAATTACACATTTTGAAAAAGTCCAATTTGTCAATAACCGTTTCAAGTTTAAGAAACTAACACATTGAAAAATTTTCAACATAAATTATTTACTATGATTGAGTTACTAATATTTAATTAATATTTTAAAATAACAGATAGAAAAATAAAATTAGTAAAAAAAAAAAAAAACGTCACAGTGTTTTTTTGTTTTCTTCAAAAATTTTTATTTTTTAAGTCTTTGAAAAAAGTTTAGCAAAACATCATGACTTTTTGTGGAAAGCATTTATCTACAAGTTTGAAGGTAGGGTTACATGAAGTCAAGTTTTTATTTTTTCTGATGGGTCTATTTTTCATTGACCTCAGAATTCCTACTCTCATATCGTTAACCAGTGTGCACTTGCGGTAGAGTAGAATTGCCCATGTCATACAACCACAAACCTGTTTATAGGGTAGGTTACAATCACACAGAAGAAAGGATATAAAACATGGAGAAGAGAGAGAAAGTTACATCCCTGCCTATGGCGGGATTCGAACCCACAACCACTGTTCCCATAGTCCAGTACAGTAACCACTAGATCAGTAATTGGCCTTTTTAAATAATATAATGAAGAAAATGTTAAACATTTATTGCTGTATTAGAGGACAGGATTTATAAAGCGCAAAAAATTTTTTTAGTATAGTTAAATGGTAGAATTAAAATGAGAAAAGATAGCAGAATCACAAAGAACAATTTCCAGTTAATCAAAGTTCTTTCATTTGTATTTGGTCAGTCACTTAATAAAATGATTCAGTAAAAGGAAGAGTTTGGATAACAAATCTAAGTTTTATAAATCATACTTTTACAATGATTTATTTGATTAAAATTCAAACAAAAGCTTTTAATATTTAAGTAACTTAACAAATATATCTATAAAAATTAAAAGTGTTCTTTTGCTCATTAAACATGCAACAAGACAAATAATGAAAATATAACAAAATATTACTGATATAAAATAAAACTAATACAGGTATAGTTGCTAGCAATTATGCAGAATGATTTGAGAATTTGTATTTTTTCTATAAATGAGAAATTCTTAAGCTCACACTTATTTCTAGTAATAAAAAATAAAAATAAAAACATTTTTTAAAAGCTGTTCTTTTTATCAAGATATTTATAATTCATAAATCTTCAATTTCTAAATTAAAAAATTGTTGTTACATTGTTCTTATGTCTGTCAAAGAGTAATATTTTATTCTCCTTCACAAAACAACTGTAAAAAATACTCTTAAGGAGACACATAAGGTCTTGTATTTAAAAATATTAAATAGATAAAAATAATTAATATGATAACTATAATAAAAGAAGAATACCATTACTTGGCACTACAGAGTGATAAAAGTTGAATAAATATTTTCTGCATTTGTTACACTAATGCAGAAATATGATCATGACTTATATTTGAATTAATAATAGGATGAATCAAATAAAAGAAAAATCACACACTTATGAGTGATGTGAGTAAATAAGTAAATAATAGAAATATAAAATGAACTTTTTTCTGTATTTAATATGCATTAAAATAGAAACATAATGATGTGAATTAATAACAATAAATAAAATAAAAGAATATTATTATGATCTGTCACAGAAAAATTTAAGCAATAAGATGTACGCTTAACTTTTCTGCGTTTATTATATTAATTAGAAATATGACAATGAATTAATAATAAGCTAAATAAAATAAATAAAGAATATTATTACCTGGTACTGAAAATTAAACGTAATAAGATGTAAGATATAGAAAGATGTTAGGAACAAATGTTGAATGAGCTTTTTCTGCATTTATTATATTAATGTAGAAATATTATGATGACATTATTTATAAATGAATAAACAATATAATGAATTAAAAAAAAGAATATTATTATCTGTCACTGGTATTTATTATATTAATGTAGAAATATTATGATGACATTATTTATAGATGAATAAACAATATAATGTATTGAAAAAGAATATTATTAACTGTCACTAGAGAGTGGTGTTCATTCAACATAATAATAAATGTTGAATGAAGTTTACCAATGTTAATTAGAAATAAGATGAATAAAATAATACTACCTGGCAACGAAGAGTGATGTGAGCAATAAATGTAGAATGAACTTTTTCTAAATATGTAAATAAATGCCCAGATGATGCATCTATTAAATCTTGAAGGCTGTAAATGTCAGAACTTTCTACAAAATGTTGACGATCTTTTAATTGGAGGAGTAATTTTTCTTCTAAGGCTGCGTGGCAAGTAAGGAAATATTTCTTCATGACCAGAATATCTTGACGTAATTTCTGCAAGATACACAAACATTTTGATAAAATAAGGCTCAAAGAGCTTATCAAGGAACAACTGCATGCAAGGCTTGAAAAAAAATCAGTGTTTTAATGGGTGATATTTCTCTGAGAGAGAAAGGTAGCTTAAAGATAGTGAAAGAATTTTATTACTAAATCTATACCAGCATTAATATTGGCAGATATATTAAACATAAAATTCATATTAAAAAGCTAACAAAAAAAATTTAATCATATTAAGCATCATATTCATATAATTTTTAATTAGATAAGAACTAGACAAAAAAAATTCTCAATAAATTAATTTTATTTAAACTCTGTCATATAGACATTCAAAAATATTTTTAGGTTTATAGCTACATAAAGGCTGGTCTTTCAGAAAACACCAAATACTCTTCCTAACTTCTAGTTAGCACTTCTTTTTTACCCTTTAGTTTTGGCCATTATCTGTGGACACAAAATGAGATGGTTTTAAACATTTGCAATTAGAAAAGTAACACAGAGCTTAAGCTCGGCAGCTATTGAATGCATGCTTTCTACATGTTGAATTGTTCCGTCCAAACATTCAAAAGCTCTTTTAAAGTTTATAGACCTTTAAAGAATGAATAAGCACTGAAAGAGACTATTACAGAACTTAAATTAACTAAATAAGGAATTTATTTTATTTTTCCTTAGCCCATACATCATTAATTAGAGAATGTAAATGACAGATTTTTAATAGGATGTATATTCTGTGATATCATTGAGAATAAAATATTCAGGTAAAATACAGTGTGTTCCATTTCTGTTATGTTAAAATATTTTTTTAAATTTAACATATTTCTAGACAGTGAAAATTCAAAAATATAGTTTAAATTTTTAGATCAACTTTTTAGAAAATAATCAAGATTATTAGCTTGAAAATGGAAGAATAATTTGAGAGAAATATTCAAAAATGCATGAAATCATAATAATTTAATAGTTGTAGTAATAACAAGAAGAAGAAAAGGGTTGGTAACGACTCGCTCTTTAAAAAAAAATTTCAGAAAGAAAAAAACACACACTTAAAAATGGATTTTATTGCACAGGTGAGTGAGTAGACAGTGTGAAACTACGGTTGAAATTAAAAACTCTGGACTTCTAAAATCCAAAAGCCTTTGAAAACTGGATCATTTTTTTGACTCCTGACATAAACGAAATTAGCCAAATTAATTTCAAATTACAAGCAAGAGGAGACATGCATCCATTGTAAACATATTGGTTTGGAAAAAAAAATGGTTTAATGTCCTAAATATAAATTACAAAACCACATGGCTGAAATCACGAAGCATAGAGCATGTAAAAAAGTGATTACTCAAATGAGAGCGTTATGATATTACTATTAAAAATATGAGTAATTTAAAAAATTGCTAGCGATTATTGTCAAAAACAGGACTGACAAGACCACATGAATGGAAGTCAAAAAGTAATTAAGTACTCTACTGGTGAAAAAGTACTTAAATGCTGAAGTTTCAGTCAGGAAAACATTTTGAGATTAACATGTCTGGCAGAGCATGTTATTTTATGGAGTGTTTATCTGAATGAAGCTTTTATATATCTGCCCTAACATCTTTTACAAAGTGTGTTCAGCATTAGAACCACTGATTTTTATACTAAATCAGGGTGCGTTGCCAAATCTCTCAACAAAAAATAAGTACTTTTTAAGCACTCAAAAATATTTGTAAGCATTATATATACATTAACAGTATGCAAAAAAATTTTCAAAGACATTACATGATCATGAGAAAATAACTAGTTTCTGACTAAGAACTCTTTTCTTGACTATATTAGTCAACATAAAAAAGCAAGGGTGCCACTCTCGAAAAATGTTAAGACTGAACTTATTTTTTGGCAAATAAACCCTTAACAATCGATTAATTTTCAAGAAAACGGTCATAAAAGTGCCTATTTTTTTATCCCTGAAAATTATATAAAAATATGTGCATGAACAATATATATATATTCCTTCTTAATTTGTTTTTAGCCTGAAATTTTAAAAAATTAAACTTTTAGGAAAAGCTCTCATTGCCACTATGACTGACTTAATGTTGCTTTTTCAGCAAGCAAGGAAAATTTAAGAAATATGTGCTTTAAACATTAAAAAAGAATTTTATTAAACTTACTTATAATATAAATAAAGATTAGTAATTTGTTTTTAATGATAAATTTCAAAGCATGAGATACAGAGGCCAACGTCACAATCTGGACAGTAGTACCGAGTTTCCTTCCTACATCTCTTATTGTTTTCATCTCTTTTCTACAATTACCTTAAAAATATACTGGTACAGCCATCGGGTGTGTAAAATGAGAAATAAAATGTTTTCCGGACAAAAGAAATGAATTAAGACTTATTCTTATTGGCATGTTACTACTGAACACTCTAGCCAGAAAATTTCATGGGAGCGAGAAACCACACCCCGTCATTTTCATGAGAGCAAGAAGGAAGGGGTTAAAACGATCCAGCGCTATTTAGAAAAACAATTTCAGAAATGTATAGCTCACTTTCCATGAAAATGGCGCACATATTATATCAATAATAAATTTTTTTTGTCTTTTTAAAAAATAAAATTTCATTTTATTAGTTTATTTTTTATAGAAAAAAAGAAGTTAACCTTGTATATCTTTTTACTGAATCAAATTGCTGAATTACAAGGCTAATTTTTTCTTGGAGCCATTCCTATTTCTATTTATTTTACACTTCCATCATTAATGCTTTGTTCTATATATTTAAAATTAAAAACTAATCATAATTTAACTTTGTTCAGTATGGAAAGTAGGTGAAAAAAAATAAACTCAAGAGTCAGATTCAACAATATTAATTTTATTTAGACAAGCAGATATAGAAATTCAGTCAATCCCATTTATTCATTGTGGCATGAGATCATTACTTGATTTTTCAATAATTATGAAAACAACGCTTTCATAAAAAGTAATTTTTTTTAATATTTATTTTAACATGGATTACATATTTCCTTATTTTTTTAAAAAAAAAAGGAAAATTATTTTGTAAATAAAAACTTAATTTGAAAAACAAATTGAGAATAAACATTTATTAGAGACTGATAAATCAGTCCACCGATCTTTTCCCAAGACTGATTTTAGTCCTCAGGACTGAAGAGTGCCGCACATGAAAAAGACGGTAAGATTTTTCAGTTCTATTTCAGAGGGTGGAAATGAAGCCTGAATTTGAGAATATCTTACAAAATGCAGCAGAGCTGCACATGAGAGTGCAATAATCTCACCAAACCCATCTCAATAGACGCACATGCAAACTCCCAAGTATTTCATTAAACATGTAACATGGTTGGCACTATCATATGCTATGGACCGAAGGTACGCCAAAATGGGTTGTGGTTGAATGAATTGTGAAAACGTTGAACAATGTGAAAAACACGCTTTTGCCACACCTATACGTGGCGAAAATCGACATGGTAAAGAAAAAAATCTCATTTTCGAATTGGGAATATTAAGCACATTTTGAAAACCTCCAATGAAAAAAGCACCTTTCAAAACAGCTTTTAAAAAACGAATATTGAAAATAAACACCTTTAAACACTTTTTAAAAACACTAAACACCTTGTAACTGGATTGCTGGATTGTTTTTTAAACTAGTTATTTGTAATATTTCTATAAATTATGTAGAAATGTTTGTAAAATTATGCAGATAGGTCGCGAATAATCCAGAAAATAGCTAAAATAGGAAAAAAACTCAATTAAAAAAAAATAAAAATGCTTTTTTATTTTTCTCATTGTGTAGAGGTTAGGGAACTGCCCTTGCATCAGAAAGATTCTGTGTTCAAATCCCAGGAAAGGCATGGATGTGGTTTCATTCTCTGTACTATCTGTCCTTACTGTGGGAGCAATGTTGGTCTACCTAATATGGTGCCCCTGAAAGAGTGGTCAACAAATCTGCCCTTCAGATGCCTGTATGACCTAGGTCATTCTCCAGGTGGGCATTGGGAAAAAAAAGTTTTCCCAAGAAAAGTTTTTCTTTTTTGAAGGGGATTGATTATTAAGCCACATAGTCTGAGTAAAGATATACGTGATAAACAATTGATTCTTAACTTAAAATAAGTGTGGTTATACAACACCATGGAACCAAGAAAAGAGCTATAGCGGTGACCTGTGCTTTGATTCTATATTGAATCAGCAATCCAGTTACATATATAGAGATGCGCAGAGTATTTTAAAAAGTTTCTAGCCTAAGAGCTACCTAAATTTTTGTTCAAATGATATCATAACTTCCCAAGAAATAGGTTTTATTTCATGCTGTGCCATTGTTGAGTTGAAAATTTGACACAAACTTGTTCAGGGGCTTAGTGTTAAAAATAGTAGCATTCTTTTAAAAATATAATTTTTAAAAGAATTCAGGGGCTAAACCCCTAGCTCACTGACGTTCACCAACCCAGATGATTGTTTCACAATAATTGCTGTTTCAGTTAAAATTATTGATACTATTAACAGTTGAAATTATTGATCTAAAAATATATGTATTGAAAAGAACACATGTCCCACCACTTCCCACGTCCAAATATTTCCCTTATGATACTATTAAGATCTATTAGTGAACATAAATCATTTTTTTCTAAGCAATTATATTTTGAAATAAGATTCAAAATTAAAAGTATATTGTTGTAACAAATTTGGTGAGTTCACAACTGAAATTTAACATTTTTGCTTACCAAACGAATGGATATATTTTAAATACAATTTTTGCATTCATCGCTTTGTGCATCAAGCTGAAAGTTAAGTTCTAAAACATTTAAGGAATCTCTTTAACCGTAATTCATAACAGTATATTAATGTAATTTGAACCAAAAAAATAATAATTTTAAAACGGTTAATAAGATCAGACACTGATTTTAATAATTTTATCCTAAAATGTAACATAGAATTACAATATTCTCATAATAATAACAATAAAAATGATCTTCCTAAACTCTTAATTTAGAAATCAAACAAAATCAAAAACATAATGATAA